AGCTCACTGCATCCTCAACCTCCAGGGCTCAAGTGATTCTCCCACCTCAGCCTCCTGAGTAGCTAGGACTTCAGGCACAATGCCACCACAATGGCTTTTTTTTTTTTTTTTCTTTTGAGATGGAATTTTGCTCTTGTTGCCCAGGCTGGAGAACAACGGCGTGATCTCAGCTTACTGTAACCTCTACCTCCTGGGTTCACACAATTCTCCTGCCTCAGCCTCCCTAGTAGCTGGGATTATAGGCATGCATCACCACACCTGGCTAATTTTGTATTTTTAGTACACAGATGGGGCTTCACCATGTTGGTCAGGCTGGTCTTGAACCCCTGACCTCAGGTGATCCACCTTCCTCAGCCTCCCAAAGTGCTGGGATTACAGGCATGAGCCACTGTGCCAGGCATATATATATATATATATATATATATATATATATTTTTTTTTTTTTTTTTTTTTTTTTTTTTTTTTTTGAGAAAAAGTCTCACTCTGTCACCAGGCTGGAGTGCAATGGGGCGATCTCAGCTCACTGCCACCTCTGCCTCCTGAGTTCACACGATTCTTCTGCCTCAGCCTCCTGAGTAGCTAGGAGTACAGGCATGCACCACCACACCTAGCTAATTTTTATATTTTTAGTAGAGACAGGGTTTCACTGTGTTGGCCAGGATGGTCTTGATCTCTTGACCTCATAATTTGCCCACCTCGGCCTCCCAAAGTGCTGGGATTGCAGGCGTAAGCCACTGCTCCCAGCTTTTTTTTTTTTTTTTAAGTAGAGATAGGGTCTTGCTATGTTGCCCAGGCTGGTCTCAAATTCCTAAACTCAAGGGATCCTCCCCGATGGGCCTCCCAAAGTGCTGCAATTACAGGCATGTGCCACTGAGCCTGGCCATGCCTTTAACTCTAAGACAAAGGTGATAACAGTCCCTTCCTGAAACAAATCTCTGCTCAGGGATGGAAACTGCCTTTGTAAAACCAGTAAAAGGCCACGAGGCTAGGATTTTGGGAGGGGCCTGAATTCTACTAAAATGTAGGTGTAGTCAGGCAGGGAGAGGTAGCTCAGGCCTGTAATCCCAGCACTTTGGGAGCCCGAGGAGGGCAGATCACTAGTTCAAGAGATCGAGACCATCCTGGTCAACATGGTGAAACCTCGTCTCTACTAAAAATACAAAAATTAACTGGGTGTGTTGGCACGCACCTGTAGTCCCATCTACCTGGGAAGCTGAGGCAAGAGAATTTCTTGAACCTAGAAGACAGAGTGAGCTGAGATCGAGCCACTGCACTACAGCCTGGTAACAGAGCAAGACTTCATTAAAAAATAACCAGCCATTGTCCCGTAGCTTGCCTTTCTATAATTACTTACTGCTTGAGAATCATGTAATCCCAGAACTTTGGGAAGCTGAGGCAGGAGGATCGCTTGAGTTTGAGACCAACCTGGGAAACAGAGTGACACCCCTGTCTCTACATGAAACAATTAGACATTCATGGTGGTATACTCCTGTAGTCCCAGATTCTTGGGAGGCTACGATGGGAGGATCCCTGGAGCCTAGAAGGTTAAGGCTGTACTGAGCTGTGATTGAGTCACTGCACTCCAGCCTGGATGACAGAATGAGACCATCTTAATAATAATAACAATAATAATAACTAGGCTGGGCGAGGTGGCTCATGCTTGTAATCCCAGCACTTTGGGAGGCTGAGGTGGGCGGATCATTTGAGGTCAGGAGTTTGAGACCAGCCTGGCCAACATGGTGAACCTTGTCTCTCCAAAAAATACAAAAATTAGCCGAGCGTGGCAGGCACCTGTAATCCCAGCTACTTGGGAGGCTGAGGCAGGAGAATCCCTTGAACCAAGAAGGTAGAGGTTGCAGTGAGCTGAGATCATGCCACTGCACTTCAGCCTGGGCAACGGAGCAAGGCTCTATCCCAAAAAAAAGAAGAAGAGGGCCAGGTGTGGGATCACGCCTGCAATCTCATCACTTTGGAGGCTAAGGCAGGTGGATCATGAGGTCAGGAGATCGAGACCATCCTGGTCAACATGGTAAAACCCCGTCTCTACTATAAATACAAAAATTAGCTGGGTGTGGTGTCATGCGCCAAGAGTTCCAGCTATTCGAGAGCCTGAGGCAGGAGAATCACTTGAACCCAGGAGGTAGAGATTGCAGTGAGTCAAGATCACACCACTGCACTCCAGCCTGGCGACAGAGCAAGACTCTTGTTTGGAAAAAAATAAAAATAAGAGACAAAACAGGAAAACAGGTAGGAAGGGTCTTAAAACAAAAGTCCTACCCCAGGCCGAAGGTCCAGAGACCAGGCTGCCTTTCCAAATCTTATGACAGTGACATAAGCCTGGCCTGGGCTTTATGACAGGGAAACACAGATAAAGGATGGTGTAATTCTTCTGGATGGTAGCTCAGAGGAGGGTGGTGAGGCTCGGCTGTACTGGTGGAGAGGTGGTGGTTCCAGGTTCTGGAGTTAATATCTTGCCATTCTTTTTTTTTTGAGACAGAGTCTTGCTCTGTCACCCAGGCTAGAGTGCAGTGGCGTGATCTCAGCTCACCAATCTCTACCTACTGAGTTTAAGGAATTCTCCTGCCTCAGCTTTCTGAGTAGCTAGGATTACAGGCTTGCACCACCACACCCAGTTAACTTTTGTATTTCTAGTAGAAACAGGATTTCCCTATGTTGGTCAGGATGGTCTCAAACAGCTGACCTCATGATCTGCCTGCCTTGGCCTCCCAGAGGGCTGGGATTACAGGTGAGAGCCACCACACCCAGAAATGTCCTGCCGCTCTTACCAACTCCTTTGTGACCTGTGGCTGAAGGAGTTGGAAGGACTGCTTCCAAGTAGTGCTTGGGCCACTGAGGGCTGATTTGCCGCCTCTGCCAGACTGGTGGAAGGGTCCCTGAGGACCCCAGGAGGGGATTGATGGCGCTGGACAGGCAGGCACTTCCAGGCTGCCTGTGAGCTTCTGTGCCTGCCAAAGGCTTTGCCACAGCCACTCCAGATCAGATGGCCCTCCGTCTGCTGCATGCTAACAGCAACCCGAGCTGGCCTTTGCCAGGACTTGGGGGAAGCTGGGACCTGGCCTGGAAGGGGCGCTGCGGTCACTGTCACTTGAATGTTCAAGGAACAGGGGTCTTATTTTACCCTCACAGAGGGTGATGGCTGCAAGGCTCTGGAGATGCACAATGCCAACCTGGACCTGCTTGCTTTGAAGACATGGGCCTTTATGGACAACTAGACAAAAAAAAAAAAAACACCCCTGAAAGACAAGCCTCCCATGTAACCACCACAAAGAATTTATTTTTTCTCAGAAGTCAATAAATAAATCTTCCGATTCCCTTTGGACACAAGGAGTCTGTGGAGGGGTGTGAAGAGAGGAGGCTGCTGCTGCTTCCTGGACTCCATCCAGGGGAGGGAGTCTAGCAGGGCTGGCTCATTCTCCAAACTGGGTGCAGAGTCTGATCTCCATCTTGAGGAAGGCCTTGAGGTTCTCATCAGCCACGTGTTCCTCCACGGCAGCCAGGGCCCGCTCCCCACCATCCTGGAAGTGCTGCAGCAGCCTGTCTGCGTATTCCACCCACACGCAGTTGGGGCAGCCACTCATGCAACAGTTTGTGGGTGGCTGAAGCTCGGGTGGCAGGTCCTGGGGTTCTGAGGGGCCCCTGCTGGGCAGTGCAGCCTTAGGTGGCCCAGTGCCGTCCACACCTGCTTGGGAGCCCACCTCTGCGTGGTCTGCCCCGAATTCTCTGTGGCCATGAGGGGCTTGTGCTCCGGGATGGTGCCTTTGAAGAAAGCTGCCACCTCCAGGAAGTCTCTGGCAGCAGTCCTGGCTGGAGAGCCAGTGAGCCCCCTGAGAATGCAGACAAACGTGATTCTCCAGGAAGCTGGTGAGGCCTTGTCTACCCCCAGCTCTGGGGACATGTCAGCTCTCACATCATTGGGCAAGTGGCTGCATGTCCTTCTCAGCTTTTCATTTCCTGCGACTTTAGACATATTATTTCACCTCCCTAGATTCAGTTTCCCCATTGTGAAATGGAAGTTATGAGTATGACACAGTGTGACTGATTCACAAGAAGTGTGGGGATCAGGGGCCTGGCGCCGGGTTTGCACTCCAGCAGATGGTGGGTGGGTCGGGGAGGCGCTTGCCACCTGCAGCTAAGACGGCTGCTCTGTGGACAGGAGCGGGGGCAAGGTGCAACCCTGTAGGCTCCTGGCCAGCCCACCATCTCTCTACCAGTATAGCCAAGCCCCGCTACCCTCCTCTGAGGGACCACCCGGAAGAATGGCACCACCCTTTATCCGAGCTTCCCTGTCACAAAGCTCAGGCCTCTGAGGTCCCTCTCATCCCAGCGTGAAGGTCCTACAGGTAGCCTTCCTTCCCTCCCCCGCTCTACCTACCCAGGATCACCGACAGACACAAGCTACTCACTTCATTTACTTCTCTAACTAATCCTACTAGGAGCATCAGCTCCTTGTCCACGGCCTGTCCCCACAGCCTAGGAGGGCCGCACACAGTAGGCGCTCGGCAGATACCGAGGAACAGCAACGTGGCCGTTCACCGGGCTGTTTCCCACCCCGGGGCTAAGAGCCCCTCCAAAGATTCGGGAGCGGAGGCTCGGAGAAATGGATGGAGGAGAGGAGCGAGGGCCCCTCCGACGGGCGGCCAGTGCGCGGTCCTCCTGGCACGCGCGGGCCTCCGAGCAGTGGCCTCTCGGACGTGCCCTTCGGCGCTGCCCAGACCCCTCCCAGGTACTTGCCAATCCACGGGCGGCAAACACGGGCGCCCAGCCTCCACCAGCCACGCTCCGCAGCAGCATCGCCCACGGACAGGGTTCCGGAACCCCCGGCCTTGAGCGGCAGCTGCTCCGGCCAATCCCAGACCTGCAGAAAGTCGCGCCGCTCCAGCCAGCGTGGGGCAAGCGCAGGAAGCGGAAGTGCCGATCGTGGGGGCGGAACCGTGCAGGAAGGCGGAAGTGGCTTAGCCAGAGAAGTTCCTGGCGTGTAGATGGCAAGAGCTGGACGCAGAGCAGTGATGCCCAGGGCGCCGGAGGGCCCTGAGAGTCCTCGGCGGGCGCGGCGGCGGCAGCAAGTGCAGCCGCTGGGGAAGCAGCGCACAACCCCGTGGCCCGGGCTTCACAGGTGAGTGCGAGGTCGCTACACTTCCCCGGAGAAGGGGACGGCTTAAAGGCTCCTCCCGAGGACCTCCTAGGGAGTGTTCGCTCCGACCCCTTCGGTGCCCTCCTCTGTGCCCGCGGCCCGCTCTCCTCCAGGATCGTTTGAATGAATAGAGGCGCGAGCGAGTCCCTGGTTTTGCTTTTCCCGCTTCCCGGCGTCCAGTCCTTGCGGTTCTGGACTAGGTCTCCCGGGCTTTCGGAGCGCCTTTCGGCCTCCTGCCCCGTGAAGAAGCGCGCTTGTTCAGGAACAGCCACTAGGTGAGACCGAGAGGAAAGATCCTTGTTCCCTGGAGTTGCTCGCACCACAGCAGCCAGATGCGGCCCCTGCAGATTCTCTTGCCAGACCCAACTTCTGTTTTTATTATTCTGCTTGTCCTTTACTTGGGACGGGTCTCACCCCTGTGTTGTTCTTCCCAGCAAAGAGAAGAAGAAAGTGAATTGCAAGCCTAAGAACCAGGACGAACAGGAGATCCCTTTCCGGCTCCGGGAGATTATGAGGAGCCGCCAGGAGATGAAAAACCCGATCAGTAACAAGAAAAGGAAGAAAGCGGGTGTGTGCAGGCCCATGCTGGGTGGCAGTGAAGCTTTGGGTGTCTCAACCCTCCCATCACACAAATATTTCAGAACATTTCAGGCAGAGGAAGTATGCCAAGACCTAGTGCTCAGACGGTGGGGGAGCGTGGCCGAAGCCAAAGCAGCGGGTGGCAGCGGGTGGCACTGTGGTTCCAGAGGAGGCTTGGAAGGAGGCTGTGCGGTGGGCGGGGAAGAGCTGTTATGGGACCTCAGGAGCGATGCTAAGGAGTGTCGTTTTTTTCCTCCCAAAAATAGTGAAGATCCATCAGAGTTTTTAGTAGAGCATGGCCAATTCATGTTTACCTTAAGCAATAAAAGATCACTGAGTGACAATGGAGTGAGCAAGAATGGACCTGGCAGCTGGGGGGCTACTCCCTGGGGGGGCCCTGCCAGGGAGAAGCCATGATTCAGTGCTGAAGCCATGGTAGATAGATGCGGGTGGAGTCAGGAGATGAAGGAGGAAATTCTATAGATGTGGGTGGAATCAGGAGAAGAGGCAGGCCCCTCTGAGAAGTCGGCCTTTCTCCCCCAAGTCTGGGTAGGATGCCCACATGTGCACTGCTGCAACCCAGAGGTAACACTCTGGCACTTTATGGAGTGGTGTTGTGTGTGTATATTTTACATACAGACACACTTATTTTCCGAAATGTGGGACTAATTTTACAGCAAAACTGTTTATAATTTGTGTATAGACGGTAGGCTTCTCATTGGGGGTTGTATGGCTGCCAGGGGGATGGCGAGATAGAGCTGAGAAGGGTGTGGGAAGGAGGCGCCCTGGCCTGGTTGGCGGATGGCACATTCTGAACCGTGCTGCATTGAATTGATACTTTTTTTTGTATTTATTTATTTTTCGAGATGGAGTCTTGCTTTGTCACCCAGGCTAGAGTGCAGTGGCGTGATCTTGGCTCACTGCACCTCTGCCTCCCAGGTTTAAGCAATTATCCTGCCTCAGCTGCCTGAGTAGCTGTGATTACAGGTGCCCACCACCATGCCCGGCTAATTTTTTTTGCGTTTTTAGTAACAGGGTTTCACCATGTTGACCAGGCTGGTTTCGAACTTCTGACCTCAAGTGATTTAGTGATTTTTCTACCTCAGCCTCCTGAAGTGCTGGGATTACAGGTGTGAGCCACTGTGCCCAGCCTTTTTTCTTTTCTTTTTTTGAGACTGAGTTTCGATCTATGTTGCCCAGGCTTGAGTGCAGTGGCACAATCTCTGCTCACTGTAACCTCTGCTTCCCAGGTTCAAGTGATTCTCCTGTCTCAGCCTCCTGAGTAGCTGGGATTACAGGTGCCTACCACTACACTTAGCTAATTTTCGTATTTTTAGTAGAGACAGGGTTTCACCATGTTGGCCAGGTTGGTCTCGATCTCCTGACCTCAGGTGATCTGCCTGCCTCGGCCTCCCAAAGTGCTGGGATTACAGGCGTGAGCCACTGTGCCCGGCTGGCCTTTTCTTTTTTTGGGGGAGACAGAATCTTGGCTCACTGCAACCTTCACCTCCCAGGTTCAAGCAATTCTTGTGCCTCAGCCTCCCAAGTAGCTGGGATTACAGGCCTGTGCCACCACGCCCAGCTGGTTTTTGTATTTTTAGTAGAGGCTGGGTTTTGCCACATTGGTCAGTCTGGTTTCGAACTCTGACCTCAAGTGATCCACTTGCCTGAGCTTTCCAAAGTGCTGGCATTACAGTTGTGAGCCACCATGCTCGGCAATACTTGTGTCTTCACATGTCTGTGAACACAGCCACCTGCCTGGCACCGTCTGCCTCCTGTGTTATACTCTCACTTGGGTCCTGCGCTCATGTTCACAGTGATGTCGTGGGTCTGCCCACGTTTCTTCGTGTAGCTCCACTGGGCTTCCTTCAGCAGCTGTGCAGTGGAGTCTGTGGGTGATAGAGAATTCATTCAACCAGCCACTTAGGGGTGGACATTTAGGCGGTTGCTGCTCTCCTTTTTTCAGCTGTGCTGTAGTGGACATCTTTGACAGGTGCCTCTGGGTTGTGGGGGTCCTGTGCCTGGGGATGCCTGGGCTGGGCATTCTAGATCCTCTTGAGCTGCCACTGTTGGGCCGCTTCCATCTGACCCTGATCTCCCCTTCCTGTGGCTTTGGGAGGGGAAATGAGCATGGGCCACCTGCCTGCCACTGTCTACTTCCTGCCTCCTCTGAGGCCTCCCTTTTTCCTCAGCCCAGGTGGCCTTCAGGAAGACACTGGAGAAGGAAGCAAGGGGAGTGGAGCCTGACATCGCCATCCCGAAGTTCAAGCAGAGAAAGGGGGAGTCCAATGGAGCCTATATCCAGCGCATGCAGCAGGAGGCCCAGCATGTGCTGTTCCTCAGCAAGAACCAGGCCACCCGGCAGCCAGAGGTGCAGGCAGCTCCCAAGGAGAAGTCTGAGCAGAAAAAAGCGTGAGTGAAGGTGGGAGGGGTTGGGACCTGCAGACCTGCCGCTGGAACAGAAGGGAGGGCACTGGGTCCCCATGATGGCCCTCTGCAGGGATCCCATTTCATAGCCATGGGGCAGTCCCACCCACCCTGCCTGGATTCAGGGAAACCAAGCCGGAGCCCTACTAGTTGGCAAATCAGAATGTCCAGCTGGGAGCCAGTGAGGGCATGGCCGGCAGGAGTCTGTGGAATCTGGGAACTCTGCAGAGACCTTGGTCCTTCTCAGGAAAAGCACCAGAAGCCCTGCCCCTGCGGGAATCAGCCCTGGGTGATTGATCTGAGGGTGACACGTACAGGGGTTCTGTTTCAAGTAGGGCCCTTCCTGGTCCAAGAGACTTGAGGGCGCTGGCTGTGTTGGCCATGCTCTCCCTGCTGTCCCTGCAGCTCTGTGGCATCTCCTCAGCCTGGGCTTCCTCAGCTGTAGAGTGGAGATAGTGGGGCTGCCATGAGGTTCAGATGGGTTTCTCATTTCATTCGTAGGGATGGTGGCGGCAGGAGTAGTAAGCCCACCACAAGCATTAGTCCTCCTGCCACCCCCGTAGGCAGGATGGGGAGGCAGTTTCAACAGAGGGTTTTTTGTTGTTTTTTTTTTGAGACGGAGTTTTGCTCTTGTTACCCAGGCTGGAGTGCAATGGTGCAATCTCGGCTCACCGCAAGCTCTGCCTCCTGCGTTCAAGCAATTCTCCTGCCTCAGCCTCCCAAGTAGCTGGGACTACAGGCGTGCGCCATGAAGCTCAGCTAATTTTTGTATTTTTAGTAGAGACGGGGTTTCACCATGTTGACCAGGATGGTCTCGATCTCTTGACCTCGTGATCCACCTGCCTCAGCCTCCCAAAGTGCTGGGATTATAGGCGTGAGCCACCGCACCTGGCCAGGATTTTTTTTTTTTTTTTTTTCTGAGATGGGGTCTCGCTCTGTTACTCAGGTTGGAGTTCAGTGATACAAACTTGGCTCACTGCAACCTCTGCCTCCTGCAGCTTCTCCAGTAGCTGTGATTATAGATGCCTGCCACCATGCCTGGCTAATTTTTTTTTGTATTTTTACTAAAGATGGGGTTTTACCACATTGGCTAGGCTGGTCTTGAACTCCTGGCTTCAAGTGATCCACCTACCTCAGCCTCCCAAAGTGCTAGGATTACAGGTATATGCCACCATGCCTGGCCTTTTTTTTTTTTTGAGATAGAACGAAACCCTATCTTGGAGAAAAAAAAAAATCCCAGGCCAGGAATGGTGGCACATACCTATTGCCAAGACTGAAGTGCAGTGGCGTGATCACGGCTCACTGCTGCTTTGACCTCCTGGGCTCACGAGATCCCCACGTATCAGCCTTCCGAGTAGCTGGAATCACAGGTGTCTGCCACCATGCCCGGCTAGTTTCTTTAGAGGTAGCGTCTCCCTGTGTTGCCAAGCTGGTGTTGAATTCCTGGGCTTCAGCAATCCACCCACCTCAGCTTCCCAGAGTGCTGGGGTCACAGGATGAGGCACTACACCTTTCTAATTCTCTAAAAGCTTTGGCCATGCACGGTGGCTCACGCCTGTAATCCCAGCACTTTGGGAGGCCGAGGCAGGCAAATCAGGAGGTCAGGAGACTGAAACCATCCTGGCCAACATGGTGAAACCCTGTCTCTACTAAAATACAAAAAAAAAAATTAGCTGGGTGTGGTGCTGTAGTCCCAACTGCTTGGGAGGCTGAGACGGGAATTGCTTGAACCCGGGAGGCAGAAGTTGAGCCAATAACGCACCACCCCAGCCTGGTGACAGAGCGAGACTCTGTCTCAAGAAAAAAAAAAAAAAGACTTTGAAGGTTAGAGAGATTGTTTTTAACTCTGTAAGTATCCTGTTTCTGGATTGTTGTATTACTTATAATTACCTTAGCCAGCAAAAATTCATCACAGAGAACGTGGCCCAGATGCAGCCTAGCACCACAGTGATCTCCAGAGCTGCCACTGAAATTGAAGCTTCCAGACTCACACTGAGGGAAACATCACAGATGATACTTTTGTAAGCCCTTTAGATACGGCAGCGTGGATTGGCTGGATGAATCTCTGTAGGGGCGTCTTTGGCAGCTTTCCCAGCCCTCAGGCACAAGGTGCCAGTAACCCACGCTCATGAGACTGCCTGCATGTCTGCAGACATTGTCACCTGTTCCTTGGGAGGCAGTCATCCCCGGCTGAGAACCACTGAGGGGGACTCTTGAGGGGCCTGTTAGGCTCAGAGCCCTCTTTGGTGAGCAGCTGTGGGTTTTGGGTGGTAAGGGGAGCGGGGACTTGGAGGCAGCCACCTGGTCTCAGGTCCCTGCTCTCCCACAGGGCATCCCTTGTGAGCAGGACAGTGTCTGCCTCCTCCCTGGGTAGAAAGAGAAGTTAGGAATATGAATGACATGTGCTTTCTTCCCCAGGTACCAGAAGCGGCGACTAGATAAAGTCCGGCAGAAGAAGGAGGAAAAGGCAGCAGACAGGCTGGAGCAGGAGCTGCTCCAAGGTAGCTCTCCGAAAGCCATGGTGTCAGCAGTGGTCCCAGCAGGGCCTGGGTACAGGCCTTCTGTTCCCCACCAGTTCTAGCTGCAGTGGGCACCTGTGGTCTCCCCTGAGGTCCACAGCCATTACACCATTGGATGAGTCAGTGTTCTGTGTCCCAGCCCTATGGAGGTGGGCAGGTGGTGGCTCTGGTCAGCAGTCCTCCATTGTACTCTGCCCCTCCAGACACGGTGAAGTTTGGTGAGGTTGTCCTGCAGCCCCCAGAGCTGACTGCCAGGCCCCGGAGGAACATAAGCAAGGACCAGGTAAGTGGGGCTGGGGCCTAAGCAAGGACCAGGAAAGTGGGACATGGGGACAACTGAGTTCGACCCCCAGTGTTGCCAGGGAACAGATGCCTTGGCCAGGCCAGATACCGTGGCTCACACCTGTAATCCCAGCACATTGGGAGGCCAAAGCAGGTGGATGGCTTGAGCCCAGGAGTTGATACCTGCCTGGGCAACATAGCAAGACCCTGTGTTCAGGGGGGAAAAAAAGCCTTCTGGTTGTGTGGCCTGAGAGTGCCGCATTCTTTCTTTTTATTTTTTAATTTTTTTTAAAAGATGGGGTTTCACCATGATAGCCAGGCTGGTCTTGAACTCCTGACCTCAGGTGATCCACCCACCTCGGCCTCCCAAAGTGTTAGGATTACAGGCGAGAGCCACTGTGCCCAGCCAGTGCCACATTCTTGATGGCGGGAAAGCGTTGCAGCTGTGAGGCTTTCTGTTGCGTCCCCTCCTTTCTGAGACGGTGCCTTACCTTCCCCTCTCTCCCTCAGCCTGGCAGGAGATTGCAGATGCTGGGGATGCTTCTGAGCCCTGGCGGTGTGTCCCAGCCTCTGGCCGCCTCCCTGGCCCGCCAGCGGATTGTGGGGAAGGAGAGAGAGCAAGCAGTGCAGGCCTACAGAGCGCTGAAGCGGCAGCGGCAGTGGCTGCAGGGGGAGCGACCCCACCACCCTTCCTGGAAGAAGCCAGAGCCGCAGCTGTGATGGAGAGAGAGCTGGGGCCTGGTCATGCTCCTGGGAAACTGGCACCAGGAGCTGCCACCCGTGGGTAGGGGAGAGGCAAGCAGATCCTTTGCCCTGGCCATGCTAGCAGTGCAGGCTCAGGCCTCCAGGTGCTTGTTCACACGATGGGCATCAGCAAGTCCACATCTTGCAAGGGGTGGGTGCTCGATGGATGAGGGCCCTGTGTCAAAGCTCCGTGTCTTTGTTCTGAACATCCATTCTGAGTTGTAGCCCAGGTTTACCTTTGGAGGGCTGGATCCCATTACCCCATTCCTGAACACCAGCTACTGAGACAGCTACTGAGGCTAGCTCGGTGTAAGACAGAGGCCCCCTGGAGGCAGCAGAATTGAGCGCACAGCACACATCCGGGAGAGCGAGCCAGGGGCAGGGAGGATGCCCCAGGGCAGGGCTGCTGGGCACATCTAGACCACCTGTGAGAGCTTTGCAGGGGACCGTGACTACAGGCCAGTTGTGAGTGGTCCCCTGCCCAGAGGCTGGTTGGGGTGGAACCTGATGACAGCGCATATACCAAGAAGGTGGGAATTGGGGCTGGGCAGAGTGGCTCACGCCTGGAATCCCAGCACTTTGGGAGGCCGAGGTGAGTGGATCACTTGAGGTCAGATGTGTGAGACTAGTCTGACCAATATGGTGAAACCCCGTCTCTAATAAACATACAAGAAAAAAACCGGAAAACAGCGTTGTCACCTACATGACAGGGCTCTGAGAGAGCCAGGGAGGCCCAAATGGCTCCAGAAGCTAAAGGGAGGATGCTGGCCTGGGCTCGGGGTCACAGAGCGGGGCCCAGTGGGGGTTCCTGACACAGGGCCCTCATCCATCGGGTACCCACCCCTTGCAAGATGTGGACCTGCTGATGCCCAGCGTGTGAACAAGCACCTGGCAGGGCCTTGCCAGGCTTCAGTCTCCTTTCACTGCCACAGGAGGCAGTGCCCAGGCTGTCAGCGTCTCCAGATGAGGGCAGGAGGGAGCAGCTTAAACCCAAGTCCCACGTCTAGCAATGGAATCAACTGCTGGGCACCGGCTGGGAGGTGAGGAACACCGCTGTACAGCCCGGCGTGAGACGGCAGCAATGTGTGTGATCTTTCTGCCTTCCCCAAGTTTGCTTTTCCACAGTGAAGTTGATTTGTAAATCAAAAGATTTAAGTTGGGGAAGATACTAAGTTGGGGCTGTGCCCTCTTGTGGGAGAGATGTACTTGGCCCCAGCCCCTGCATTGGGTTGTTGGTTTTACAGCAGCCAGAACTCAGCCCCAGATCACATGCAGCACTGGAGCGGGTGGCTTTTCCCTGGGAGAGGGAGGGATGGCAGCAGGTGGTGCTCCTACTTGTTCAGTGTGTTTGGTTTTGGGCATCAGTATCGGCTACTATGCAGCTGAGTGAAGGGATTCCCACGGGGCTGGGAAAGCATTCATGCTCTCCGCTGCGTCCACGGTTCTCAGGTTCCTGCTGCTTCTGGAAGGGAAACCCCTGGTGGTTTCTGAGGGTCTCTCTTGCCCAGGCTGGGGTATAGTGGCATACACAGACTGACTGCAGCGTCAAGTTGTTAGGCTCAGGCGATCCTCCCACTTCAGCCTCCTGAGTACCTGGGACTACAGGGGTGCACCAACATACCCAAATAATATTTTGCACTTTTGGTGTAGATGGGGTTTCACCACATTGCCCAGGCTGGTCTCGAACCCCTGGACTCAAGGGATCCACCTGCTTCAGCCTCCCAAAGTGCTGGGGTTAAAGATATAAGCCACTGTACCTGGCCTTTTTTTTTCTTTTTTTTTTTTTGAGGTAGGGTCTTGCTGTCGCTTAGGCAGGAGTGCAGCGGCACACTGGTCTTGAACTGCTGGGCTCAAGAGGTTAGCCTGCCTTGGCCTCCCAGAGTACTGGGTTTCGAGGAGAGGCCAGCTTGTCCACCCTCCTTTTCTTATCCTTTACCTCTAGAATCTTGAGGAGGAGGTTACATGGACGTAAGTCAGAGCAAACGTTTCTTTTAAGAGGTGAGGGCCATGGATGGGCCTTCCTGGGCCTCCTGCTGTCTCTGGGGCAGTGCTGGTCTCTCTCCATGTAAAGGAAAAACCAAGTCTGCACAAAGTCTGGTGGTGCTGACTAAACCAGTGATTCAGATGGGAACCTGCATGTACATACAGTCCTCACAGCACCCTATTGTGAACTAGCCCATAAGGAAGGATTTTCCCCAGCTGCCAACCCTGTCACACATGATTATGTGATTGTTGCTTGAGGAAAAAAATTTATTACTGTTAACAATTTCACAGATTGTATAATGTTATTTTTTGATTAGTGTTTAGTTTTACGGGAACTCCAAACCATTAAAGAAAATTCAGGCCAGCCATGGTGTCGCTGTGCCTGTGGCCCTAGCCACTCGGAGGCTGAAGTGGGAGGATCACTCAAACCTGAGGGGTCATGGCTGAAGTGAGCCGTGATTGTGCCACTGCACTCCAGCCTGGGCTGTAACAGACCAAGACCCTGCTTCTAAAACAAAACAAAGAATTCATATCTAGGTGGTACATTTGCGCTGAGAAGAATCCAAAAGCAGAGATAACTCTGGTAACAGTGGTGTCCTTACCAGCTTCAATTTCCACAGACTTGGGAGAGAATCGGGCTCTTGGCGGCCAGGGCTCTGGCATGGGCACCTCAGGGGATGGAGGGTGCCTGGCCCAGAACAGCCACTGAGCACAAGGACCCTAAGGACAGAGGCGGGGGTCTAGGTGACAAGGCCAGTCCCTACAACCCTTGTCCACCCCGCAGGACACCCTAGTTGACACTGTGTGCCAGTAAAGTTGGGACATGGTTTTGGGAACGTGGGTCATTGAAAGTGGTCTTTGGCAGACAGCCTGTGAGAGCAGGCAAGGAGGGTCCTTAGCCACCCACCCAGAGGCTGTCCTCCCTGTGGTGCCATGCCACACCTGTGTATGACTCCTGGCTGGAACCCACCCTTTAAAACTGCCTGAAGAGGTGTGGGAGTGTGGCTGCAGGCTCCAGACTACATTGGCTCCACCTACCAAGAACCCAGCTGCCACTAGCACTGGCTCGGAACACAGGCTCCCTGCTTCTCCGGGTCTTGGGAAACCTGTATGTCTTAGGACTCATTCAGGATCAGCATGTCCAGCCCAGGACTTGGGGAAAACCACTCCTTCCCAACTAGAGGAATGTTGCTCAAAGCAACCTGAGAAGTGTACTTTCATGCCCCACAGCAAAAAACATGGTGGGTATTTTTTTTTTTCTGTTGAGACGTCTTGGTCTGTCGTCCAGGCTGGGGTGCAGTGGAACAATCTTGGCTCAATGCAACCTCCATCTCTGGGATTCAAGCAGTTCTGTGCCTCAGCCTCCCAAATAGCTGGGATTACAGGCACCCACCACCATGCCTGGCTAAATTTTTTTTTTTTTTTTTGAGACGGAGTTCTGCTGTTGTTACCCAGACTGGAGTGCAATGGCACGATCTTGGCTCACTGCAACCTCCGCCTTCAGGGTTCAAGCAATTCTACTGCCTCAGCCTCCCAAGTAGCTGGGACTACAGGTGTGCACCATCATGCCCAGCTAATTTTTGTATTTTTAGTAGAGACAGGGTTTCACCTTGTTGACCAGGATGGTCTCGATCTCTTGACCTCGTGATCCACCTGCCTCGGCCTCCCAAAGTGCTGGGATTATAGGCGTGAGCCACCGTGCCCAGCCTATTTTTGTATTTTTAGTAGAGAGGGGTTTCACCATCTTTGCCAGGCTGGTCTTGAACTCCTGACCTTGTGATTCACCCGCCTCAGCTTCCCAAAGTGCTGGAATTACAGGTGTGGGCCACTGTGCCCAACCCATGATGGGTATTTTTCCAGTTATGCCCTGAGCCAAATGTTGAGCTTTTCTGCCCACGAAGGACAAAATTGTAGCACTGGCAGGGGTGTAACCTGAGGGGTGGCCTGGGTTGTCACTGCTCTTGGCCATGGGGCAGGCTGGTCTAGACAGCAGGGGGATGTTTTCAGGGGCAAAGGTTCCCGCACCTAGTCCTGAACACATCAGGTGCTGGAGTACAACTTCATTGTGTTCTCAAGAAACCAGTGTGGGCCACAAAAAGGCTGTAGAGGCTGGACTAAGTACCATTCTGAACATGCTGCTATGATCAGCCAGGTTTCGCTAAACTGGGGGACTGAAAGCCAATTACCTGGATCACAAGTTGCTTGTGAAATCTGCAAGGACCTGCCATCGGGGCTCATTAAACCCCAAAGTATGGCACCTTGGCATGCAGTGTACTTTGATCTAGAGGAGACTGGAAGGCCTCAGAAGTCAGATCTTTGTCCTTCCTTCCTGGTTCCTGCCCCTTTTCATCCCCCAAAGTGAGTCACAAAAACCAGACTTCTTTTTCCCCAAGGCAGATCATAAAAACAAGGTTTTCCTTGAGTCTTTGGGTTTTCATTTCTGAAGGCTCCTGTGTCAGAGAAAATTTTATTGACTTACTATTTTTTAGAGGAGTCTCAATCTGTCACCCAGGCTGGAGTGCAGTGGTGTGATCTCAGCTCACTGCAACCTCCACCTTCTGGATTAAAGTGATTCTCCTGCCTCAGCCTCCCAAGTAGCTGGGATTACAGGCATGTAACACCCTGCCGGGTTAATTTTTGTATTTTTAGTAGAGAAGCAGTTTCACCATGTTGCTCAGGCTGGTGTCTCAAACTCCTGGCCTCAAGTGATCTGCCCGCCCTGGCCTCCCAACGTGTTAGGATTATATGCAAGAGCTACCATACCCAGCTGTCATGTAAAACTAATATATTTGTTACGCTTTTAGTCCAGGCATGGGGGCTCATGTTTGTAATCTCAGCATTTTGGGAGGTTGAGGTAGAAGAATCACTTGAGGCCAGGAATTCAAGACCAGCCTGGGCAACACAGCGAGAACCCCCCACCTCCACCCTGGCCATCTCTACCAAAAATATGAAGTATTAGCCAGGTATGGTGGTGCATGCCTGTAATCCCAGCTACTTGGAGGCTGACGTGGGAGGACGGACTGACCCTGGGAGGTTGAGGCTGCAGTGAGCTGTGATCCCACCACTGTGCTCCAGCCTGAGACAGAGTGAGACCTTGCTTCAAATAAATAGGTAAATTTGTTAACACCTTTCTCTCGATCACCTGCATTTTATTAGGAGTGTTGGCTGTTACCCTTGTAAGTGAAAAGGTACCATACCTTTCCGCCCCATGATACTGGACAGAGACCTCAGACAGGGGGAGCAGTGCATGGGGATTCACAAGGTGTCTAAGAAGGTGGCATCCAGCAGGGCACAGGCTGTGTACAGTTGAGAGCTCATGACAAACTAGAAAGCAGAAACTGGAGCTCGAGCCACCCTGAGGCACATACAGGGCTGAGCTTTTCCCTCCCAGCCTTCGTGCACAGCCCTCCATTGAACAAAGACCCCTTTGCCCACAAGCAGACTGCAGCAGCTTTGTGCCGCAGAGCGTGGTGGGTGCCATGGCCAAAGGAGCCTAGGCTGCCGGCTCTGAAACCATGTTTAGAAAATTCACATCTACTCTCAGGACTTTGGGTTTCTGATTCCATCACTGTAGTCAAATGAGGGTCCCCAAAAGGCGTGTCCAAGTTATAACCTCTGGAGCAAGCAGAGGCAACCCAGTTTGGAAAAAAAAGGGCATTTGCAGATGTAACTAGGAATCATCCTGGATTTCCAGTGACAGGTGTCCTTATAAGAGGAGAGAATGCAGAGGCACAGGTGAGAAACCCTGTGAAAGTGGGTGTGGAAACTGAGGCTCCACAGGCCATAGCCCAGGAGCGTCGAGATCACCACAGCCACTACGCAGGCAAGGCATGGACGCTCCCTCAGAGCCCCTAGAAGGAAACCACCCTGGTGACACAACCTTGGGCTCTGGCCTCCAGAACTGAGAGTTTCTGTTGTTTCAGCAGCCACAGGACACTGATGCATCAATCAACACTCCCACAAGCTGCCACAGCTGAGAACCAAAGTCAAGGCAGGACACTGGGGAACTGTGGGGCCCACAGCCATTTCCTGTGCTTCATCTGAGCCCCTCCTGACTCACCTGTGGCCATCTCAGGGCAATACCTGTTTACTGAACAAGTGAACTAGGGAGAATGCTGGCTCTTGTTTCTTTTTGAGACTGGATCTTGCTCTTGTTGCCCAGGCTGGAGTACAATGGCAGGATCCTGGCTCACTGCAATCTCTGCCTCCCCATTTCGAGCAATTCTCCTGCCTCAGCCTCCCAAGTAGCTGGGATTACAGGCATACACCAACACGCCTAGCTAATTTTTGTAGTAGAGACAAGGTTTCACCATGTTGGCCAGGCTGGTCTTGCACTCCTGACCTCATGATCTGCCCATCTCGGCCTCTCAAAGTGCCAAGATTACAGGCATGGGCCATTGCGCACAGCTGCCTTTTGTTTCTAACTCCAGGCCTGGTTCTTACTACCACATTCACTTCACCTGCCTCATGCTGTCTGTGGGGGATGCGGGGTCAGGGCACCAGCAGCTAAGGCAGGTTGGAGCTGATGCTACAGCAAGAAGCCAGGTCTCAGTGGCACTGTGCAGTCCACACTCCTTGGGGACAGTTCAGTGGATCTCCTGGCAGAAGACGAGCCGACCCCAATAGCAACACTTCAGGATGCAGGTCACTTAGCCACCTACAGGCCCTGCTCACCCAGTCTGGGGACAGTTTTTTCAGGGGCCAGATGTCAACAACTTCCATCTCTGTATGCCTCAGTTTACCCATCATGTAGGGCTATGCTGGGTTATTCTTCCCTGTGAGAAGAAAGTATTGGCAGCAAAGCCACACTGCCCTCTGCCTCCTCTCCCCAGCGAGGGCCAGCCACGCAGTCAATCATTGCCTCTGTGGGTGGCCTGGAGCCAGCCTAGCACCCCTGCCAAGCCAGTGCCTTTCCGGGCACTGATTTCTGCCATGGTGATGTCCTGCTTGGCACAAGCAATGATATCTGGAAGCCTGATTAACGATTTCATCTCCTCCGTGGACATGTAACAGGGTAGGTCGCTGGAGTGAAAGAAGTGCCCCATCAGAACAGTGGCTGCCACACACCTGCCCTGGCCCCCAGCCACATGACCTCCCTCCCTAGCCAGGCTCCCGGCTGTAATCCTAGGGAGTCCCACCCCTGCCTGCCCCCTCTCAGCTCAAGGACACGTACATTTTATTGAAGAGTATCAGCACTGATGCTTCTGCAAGTTGTTCTGCAGAAAGGAGACCTAAGAGCTGCACACAGGATGCAGAGAGTTGGGTGGGGTTAGAGGCATCCATCATGAACTGGGGAAAAAAAAGAAACATGTCAGTAACGTCCTGCTGCAAAGGACAGGTCCTGCCAAACTTCCTCCCCTGGGCCTCACAGACCTGGCACTAGGTGGGTAAAACAGCTTTTTATTTTTATTTTTTGAGACAGAGTCTCGCTCAGTCACCCAGGCTGGAGTGCAGTGATGGATCACAGCTCACTGCAACCTCCGCCTCCCAAGTTCAAGTGATTCTCCTGCCTCAGCTTCCTCAGTAGCTGGGACTACAGGTCCGTATCACCACATCCAGCTAATTTTTTGAATTTTTAGTAGAGACGGGGTTCATCACGTCAGCCAGGATGGTCTCAGTCTCCTGACCTCGTGATTCGCCTGCCTTGGCCTCCCAAAGTGTTGGGATTACAGGCGTGAGCCACCGCGTCCGGCCCAAAATAGCTTTAAACAAAGCTTGGGAACAGAAACAGAAGCAGAGGGAATTGAGTTTTATGAGGACGACTTCGTGTCACTCGAGTGTTTCTGTTTTCACTTATATGGAAGTCTCTGTCCTCATGTGGCCATCATTTCTCCATCCTGGAATCTGGGGCACAGGCCTTGTCAAGATGGCCAACCAGAAGCATGTATAAATCCAACATAAACGTACAGGTACTGGGGAGCAACACACAGAGATGAATCTGTTCTCTGCGGCACAGCAGCCCTGCTCTCAGCAAGCCCTCCGTGAGCTCTAACACGGGCTTTCGAGCACAAGCACCAGATAAACCAGACGGGGTGCCCAGCAGGAAGCAACACTAGCGTAGGACCTGTTTCCATGACTAGTAAGTCACTAAATAACCCAAACCCCAAACCCCGTTCTACACATAGCAAAGTTGGGGAATGGGTATCACAGGAACGTAGACACACTTCTCTAAAAGAAGCCCATCTAGGATTACAACCTACCAGAAGAGAACGGCAGTTTCCATAGTAACTGGACCAGATGGGGCCCATGCACCCCCCCAGCTCCCGGATGGTGATCTTTCTCTGTGCCAAGATGTCAGTAAGATTGGTGCCCACCTATAGGAAAAACCACGATGCAGAGAGAACAATACAATCGCTGTCTCGCTGTGAACTCCTGAAGAGCACTGTGGCCACACCTTACACGGCGGCCACACCTTACACGGCGGCATGAACCCCGCAGATTCATTCCCCAAGGCTTCAGTCCGTAAGGCAGGAACGGCGAGCAGGGACCGACGCCCATCAGTAGTTGACTCGCCGTGGGGGCGACCAGCCACAGGAACCCGTTGCGAGAGGAGAGGAGTGCCCATGGAGGGCGGCAGGCCCCTGCATCCCGGGCCGGGCATCCTCAGCTCAGTCCCCGCCCCCCCCGCCCCGCTCCCGAAGGCTGACCTTAAGTCCAGGCCCGACCGGCTGCGCCTCGGCGTGCACTTACAGGAGCCTGCAGCGCAGAGCTGACCCCACTTAACTCCACCCGCGGGGGCGGACACCTACCGTGGGCCGTGTCGGGGGCGGCTCCCCCAGGTCGCCCTTCCCATCCCCGGAGCTCACTTGTGCGGAGCGGTTAAGGAAGGACCCGAGCCGCTAAAGGGTGAGTTCCCGGCCCGGGTGCCCCCCACTCCCCGGTCCGGTCCCCACGCGAAAGGATATCCTGCAGCCGTTTCACCAGCAGCGTCTTTCCGACCCCCGTGGCTCCCAGCAAGAGACACATTCCGTCCTTTACTCCATCCGGCACCCGTAGCTCAGCGCCGCGGCGCAAAGCTCGCCCATCGCCTGTTCTCATTGGATAGGTCTCACCTCCGTCCTGCTGATTGGTTCTTAGGGCTCATTGCTCCAATTAGCGCTCTGCGTCAGCGGGAGAACGGAAGACCCCGCCTTCTCTCGGTTTTCGGGCTGGCGCGGTGAAGTGCGCCTGCGCGCACTGGAGGAAAAGGCGGAAGCGGAAGTCGGGGGGCGCGCCAGCTCTGAGCAGGGAGCGCCCGCGGCGTCGGGTCTGGGCTGGAGGTCGCCATGGGGCGAGGCAGCGGCACCTTCGAGCGTCTCCTAGGTAACGCGCTCCCGCTCAACCGCTCGGCCTTAGGTTGACAGGCAGTTCTAGCCCGGCGCTGAGTTAGCGCGGCCCGGAGGGCTCGAGGGGCGCTCACTGGTTGCCGTGCCTGCCTCTCCCCGGCCCACCGTCCTCCTGGGCGCGGAGCCACTGATCCTGGACCGTCGGCTTGGCCGTGGGGTCGGCGTCCGTTGGGCGTTGGCGAACCTGGGCGTTGTGAGGTTCTGCGCAGGGCACCGGGGCGCTCGGGGTACCGGCTCCTCCTGGGGCCTGGGTTTTAGGCAGATTTTCCCCTGACAGACTTGCACCCGGCCTAGTGGGTCACAAGGCCCGAGTCATGAAAGTGGGTGACTCAGTCGCATGTTATTAGGCTCGCACTTGGGCTTCTGACCCAAAACATTGGTCCTAGAAGGGTGGAGCTAACAGTGTCCTTTCTGGAACCTTCGAGCTCTCTTGGGAGTTGTGGGTCCCAGACCCACCTTTTATTCCCACACTGGTTTCTGGAAGCGCCTAATGGTTTAGGAAGGCATTTTCTCTGGTTTTTGGAGGTGAAAGCTGATCCTGTCTGAGCCTCCTGGAGTTGACAAGTTTTAGAAGGGAAAATGAATGTTTACGGGTAGTTCCTGGTAGCCCCGTAGTGAAAATGCGCCTTGTGCTTGGGTGTCCTAATGGGCCGCCCCACGCCTGCCTTTTTGTTAAGTATGGTTTTCAAGGAGAACTCAAATGAGACACTTTCCTTCCCCAAGGAATCTGCAAGCGGACTAACTCAGTTTTACGGGTATACCCGTTCAGTGCTTCAGGGATGAAGCCAGAGATTAACTACTGAATCAGTATTGAAAGTGGACGTGGCTTGGCTTGTTAGATTGTTTCTGTTCCCGGGGAAGGCGGTGTGGGCAGAGCTGGAGCTGCTCCTCCGAGGCCCGGTTGTTGGAAGCAGCAGCAGTGATTTGGGGACGAGAGGTATTAGCTGGCAGGTCCTCCTTGGAGGCCCTTTCTGCCCTTATTCCCAAAGCACTTGGAGCGGGGGGGGGGGCGCCTGGAGTCTACACTGCAGGCCTCTCTAGCTCTTGCCCCAGCTGAGATCCCATTGAATGGGGGAGCATCTGAGCGAAAGGGGACTCTGAGGGACAGGTGACAGTTCTTTGTTGAGAAGCAGCCAGGCCTGAAGTTTAAGAGTGAATCAGCCTCTGTCTGTGGCGAGCTGTGTGACTCAGGGCTGTGCCCTCACTGCTCTGCTGAGTGTCTTTACCTTGCTGGTAGGTTGTGGGAGGGCTTGGACCAGCACCGGATGTCCTCTCTCTTCTCAGGCTGTTCCATGCTTCCCTGGGAAGGATGGCAGGCACTTCCGTACTCATCAGCAGGCTCGGGAGTATTCTCACGTAGTTTTTCATTTGGTCCAAACGTCTAAAAGGGACGTAGGGAGTCCCCCTGCCCTGCTAGGGAGCTGGGGTGCTGCATGGGTAGTCCAGCAGGATAAGCCCCCCTCTTCGTTGCATTTTCTCCCTCAGACAAGGCAACCAGCCAGCTCCTGCTGGAGACAGACTGGGAGTCCATTCTGCAGATCTGTGACCTGATCCGGCAAGGGGACACACAGTGAGTGAGTGGGGTGATGCCCAAAGTGGGGAGCGGCCCTGCACGAAGCTGGGCTTGCTTGGTGCCCGTTGGTTCCCCATGATTTAGCTGACCATGTTAGCCTTTTTTTTTTTTTTTTTTTTTTGAGACAGAGCCTCACTCTGTTGCCCAGGCTGGAGTGCAGTGGCACGACCTTGGCTCGCTGCAATCTCCGCCTCCTGATTCAAGCAATTCTCCTGCCTCAGCCTCGCGAATAGCTGGGACTACAGATGCCTGCCCCCACACCTGGCTAAGTTTTGTATTTTTTAGTAGAAACAGGGTTTCACCACTGGGCGCGGTGGCTCACACCTGTAATCCCAGCACTTTGGGAGGCTGAGGTGGGTGGATCACGAGGTCAAGAGATCGAGACCATCCTGGTCAACATGGTGAAACCCCGTCTCTACTGAAAATACGAAAAATTATCTGGGCATGGTGGTGCTTGCCTGTAGTCCCAGCTACTCAGGAGGCTGAGGGAGGAGAATTGCCTGAACCCAGGAGGCGGAGGTTGCGGTGAGCCGAGATCGCGCCATTACACTCCAGCCTGAGTAACAAGAGTGAAACTCCGTCTCAAAAAAAAAAAAAAAGAAACAGGCTTTCACCATATTGGACAGGCTGGTCTCGAACTCCTGACCTCATGATCCTCCTTCCTTGGCCCAAAATGCTGGGATTACAAGTGTGAGCCACTGGGCCTGGCCACATTAGGTTCTTATGTGGAGAATTGCATGGTCTACATGCTAAGATTTTTGATGTCTTGGAGCAATTAAGGGGCTTTTTTCTGTACAGCTTGCAGATACCTGCTCATGTTCATATTTGCTTTGGGGTTTTCACAGACTTAGACAGCAGACCTATCTTTTTTTTTTTTTTTTTTTTGAGACGGGGCCTTGCTCTGTCACCCAGGCTTGAAGTGTAGTGGCATGATCTCAGCTCACCAAAGCCCCTGTCTCCCAAACTCAAGCAGTCCTCCCACCTCAGCCTTCCAAGTAGCTGGGACTACAGGCGTGCACCATCACTCCCGGCTAATTTTTTGTATTTTGGTAGAGGTGGGGTTTTGCCATAATGCACAGGCTGGTCTCAAGCAGTCCTCCTGCCTTGGCCGCCCAGAGCACCGGGATTACAGGTGTGAGCCACTGCAGCTGGCAGCAGATGAACTTTTCTCATCTTAGTTGCTGACGCCATTTTTCCCCTTTGTCTTTGCTTTTACCAATGCCATTTCCTTTTTAGAGCGAAATATGCCGTGAATTCTATCAAGAAGAAAGTCAATGACAAGAACCCACACGTGGCCTTGTACGCCCTGGAGGTAACTAGACCCTGTGCCGCAGAGGCTTCCAGGGGCCCCACCCCCCACTGGTTATGGCAGCACGAGATGAGTTTGCCCTGTGGCATTACCCCCCTTTCTGGGCATACAGCAAGCAGGAGAGTTTCCACTCAGCCTCGGGTGCCCACATGAGCTGTGCCATGAGGAGGGGGTCAGTCTGATGGAGAAATGGAGAGTGGGAAGGGAGTGAGCTTCTTCACTTCCCTTCTTCAGCTTGTGCTGTGCGAGTAAACACTGAAAATGGATCTCATCCTTGTGCTTGGCCATGAGACTTGGCGTTGGATGGAGCGGTGTGGTGCAGGCTGCTGAGTCTCAGACGCTGCTGTTTGAGGTTCCCCAAAAGCCCAGTGGCCTGACGGGCCTGTTGAAGGCCTGCTGTCCCACAGGGAGGTGGATCCATCCAGGAGGAGGAGGGGCCCCTTCCCTGCCCACTGACCCTTCCCTTTCTGGGCTCTGCAGGTTATGGAGTCTGTGGTGAAGAACTGCGGCCAGACCGTTCATGATGAGGTGGCCAACAAGCAGACCATGGAGGAGCTGAAGGATCTGCTGAAGGTGGGAGACACGGAGGGAAGCAGGTGGCCACCCAGGCTGGCATCTTTGCTTCTCCGGGTGTTTCCTGGGCACCTACAGCAGAACAGCACTGGGTGTGGCAGAGAGCATGCAGGTGCAGATGAGTGGTCCCTTCAGCAGAGCTCAGGGCCTCCACACACTCAGTCGTGGGAGAAACTGGGCCATGAGCCCCAGTCCAGAGAGGCAAGGCTTTAGCAGGAGCCATCCTGGGGAGCTGTGTCTGGAGCACCAGGGTGACAGCGATCTTGGGGCCTGGGGACAGCTTCCAGGGGGCACAGCTTGCACATCAGCTGTCCTTGGGAAGGTCACTAGATGCTGCTGGGTGGGCATGGCAATGATGGCTATTGTGTGTGAGGGTGGCTGGGTCCAGAGGGCAGCCTGGCCTGGACCCACAGGCAGGGGCGTGGGAGGGCTCTGAGTGGGGGCTGGTAAGATCGAATGTGTCTGTGGGGAAGAGGAGCTGTTTTGGAGAGTGGGGGCTTCATGCAAGCTCCACAGTTCCCCAGGAGATTGTACTTGAACACCTGTGGCGGGGGTGCTGTGGCAGGGGTGCTGCGGTGGGTGTCCCCTGCAGTCAGGCTGCTCCCGCTCCATCCCAACCTGTGGGCCAGGCCTGAGTTTCATCGGAGACTCCAACCTGAACCCATACAGCTGAGAACCTGCCCAGGGATCCCAATGGACAGCCAGGCCTCTCAGAGCACCTTGGCCAGCTTCCCATCCCATCCCGGCTGAGAGTCAGAAGGTGCTGGAGGCTAGAGTCTGGCCCGGTCTGACCCTGGTGCACCTGCAGTCCCTCAGGCTGCAGTTCTTGAGGCCACCCTTTCCTCTGTGGGGCGGGGCAGGGCTGTGATGGAAGGCACCGCTGAGGATGCAGAGGTTCTGGAAAGGAACTCAGGCTGTGGTGCAAGTGCCCCAGTGCCTTCTTGAAGCAGCCTCTCATCCTATGCCATCCTTGGTGTCGTACCTCCGTGGCGTTCCTGAGAGGACTCTAGATGCGAGACCAGGCTGCGCTCTGTCCTGGGGGAAATGGTGGCTGCAGGGGGCTTGGCACCCACTCTGAATTTGGAGGTGTGTCTGGAGCAGCTGCTTTCCCGAATGTCCCCAGCTGTGACTAGAGGAGAGGTGTGGCCTGGCCTCCACAGCGTCTTCGTCTTCTCAGCCCCAGCTCGATGCTGCCACTGTCAGGCCTGCTGGACTCTGCCTCTTGGGGGCTGATGGGAACTGGGGATCCTGGGCTGGGCAGGTCCCTTGGGAACGGGAGAGACAGATGGTCTGGGGCACAGAGACGCAGTGGTGGTTAGCTCCGGTGAGCCCCTGGTTTTTGGTAGAGGTTAGAGAAGGGCCGTGGTCTTGGACAGGTATAGACAGGCATGAGATTTGAATTCAGGGTCTGGGAACAGATGGGTGCATGGCCCCACACCCCACTTGGGGGCCCTCCCTGGCCTCTGCGTCAGCCCCTTCTGCTCAGAGGCTGAGGTTTGCCAGCCTGAAGTCTCCTGCGACCCTCCCCATCTCCTCCGTGCCTGCAGAGACAAGTGGAGGTGAGCGTCCGTAACAAGATCTTGTACCTGATCCAGGCGTGGGCTCATGCCTTCCGCAATGAGCCCAAGTACAAGGTGGTCCAGGACACCTACCAGATCATGAAGGTGGAGGGTGAGTCCAGAGCAGCGTTGGGACCAGGCCGGGGCTTGGGACTACTGGGCAGTCAGGCCCAATGGGCACAGTGTCACAGGCCCTGGGAAGCTGGGCTGCTCCCTGTGGTGGGAGGGAGGAGGGCGGCGGTGTGGCGCCAGGGCAGGCCGTGTATGAGAGGGCGGGCTCAGACCAGCTCCTGCCTTTCTGGACCCATGGCCCATGGGCGAGGCAGGTGGTCACAGCAGATGACACTCAGGTGAACAGGCAGCAGACAGCCTGTTTCTGAGGGGCAGGGCTTCTGGGGCATTGGGTTGGGCTGTGCAGTCAGGAAGACCGCTGGAGGAGCTTCCTCGAATATTGAGACTGGGACAGAAGCCAGAACCAGCGTGGGTACAGACAGGCAGCATCCCCAGAGGGATGCTCAGCCCTGGGGCAGAAAGGCGGCCAGCGTGCCCAGAGGAGAGAGTGGGCTGGGCCTGTGCTCTGAAGGCCTCCAGGCTGTGGGCTAGAGTTCAGCGAAGCTCTAAGCACGGCGGGAGGTCTCCAGGGGGTTTTTGTCTGGGCCGTGGCAGCCAAGATGTGTTTCTTAAGGGTCGCTCCTGGTCGTCATGGCCTTGGAGAGTTGAGGGCTTGTGGAGAGATGGGTGGAGGCTTCAGGATGCATTTGGAGGTCTTGGCTGGTGTTTGGGGCCCACACAATGAGAGCAAGGTGGGCATGGCTGCTCCCATCCGTGCGGGTCCTGTGCGGCCCTGAGCTCTGCTGAAGATGAGGCCGAGAGTGTGGGGAACGGGGTGGGTTCTGGGGATGGTACGTCACTGCTGCAGGAGTTAGACACTTGCCCCATGGCTGCAGGCTAGGCAGGACCAGTGTGGAGACTCGGGTAGAACTTGGGGTGGCTGCATGAGCTGCCTCCAGCTCTCACCTTCGGGGTGGTGGATGCTGGTGGTATGTGCTAACATCTCCTTCCCAGGATGGCAGCTTTCCTGGATTTTATCTGGGGTCTGTGTTTCAAGAATAGCTTGAGGCCCTGTCCTCAGGAACAGTGGGAACCCTGGCCAGAGAGCAGAGGGCGAGGGAGTCACTTGGCAGGTGGGGCCACACAGGTGCCTGACACCCTGATGGGGTGGGAACAGCAACTCAGGAAGGGGACAGCAGTGCCTGGCTCTCATCTGCCACCACAGTGAGGACAGAGGACCCGTAGGGACGCCAGCCTTGGGGACAGGAGGTGGTCCCAGTGCCCCCACAGGCCCTCACTTGGGTGCACAGTCACTGCTGTGTCACAGCTGCCAGGAGTGAGGAAGGGGCTCCCGGAGGTCTGTCAGGCCAGGCAGGAGCAGGCAGTGACTGTGGCCTCCTCTCTCCAGGACACGTCTTTCCAGAATTCAAAGAGAGCGATGCCATGTTTGCTGCCGAGAGAGTGAGTGTGGGCGGCTGCCAGGGGTCCTTTGGCTGTCGAGGAAGCGTGAGGGGAGCACTGGGAGCCCGGCTTGCTTGGGAGTTGGTGGCTGAGCTCCCGGGGAGACACAGCAGCTGTCTGCTGGGCAAGGTGGAGACGCAGCTTGAGGGCCTTGGGAGTGACTATGGGCTACGAAAGGAAAACAAACACCTCCAATGAGGAAAGAAGTCCCTTCCTCCAGTCTCAGCAGCTTCACCCCAGGCCACGACACTGGGAAGGGCCGGCTGGGGCATTGCTCTCAAACCTGCTGAGTTCCTCTCTATTCGTTCCCTTGAGTGTGCTTCTGGAGCTGGGAGGGGTGTTGAGTGGTCCTGACTCTGTGCCTCTCCTCAGGCCCCGGACTGGGTGGACGCTGAGGAATGTCACCGGTGCAGGGTGCAGTTTGGGGTGATGACCCGAAAGGTGAGTTCCCTACCAGAGGAGCTGGGGGCTCTGCTCTACAGCCCTGGGCAGATACCAGGCCACCATCCCTGTGGGGTCTTTCCTTTCTGGTGGGTGGCTCAGGAGGTGAGTGCAGCTCGCAGCAGGTGGTGATGTGTCAGCGATGGGGACAGTGAGGGGGCCACTAATGTGGGCCTGATGCTGCTGCCTGGCTGGGCCCAGCCTCAGGGATTGTAATGTCCCAAACCTGGGCTATGTGCTTGCCACAGTCACTCTCCTGCTTGCCAGGGCTGTGTGGCCACTTCGTTGGGTGGCTTAGCCCACCCGGATTCTGACCCTGCGAGCCACCTTCCCACCAAAGCCCCCTCCAGCTGGTGATCAGGAATGCTTGGGGTTCGGGGTGTCAGAGCAGTGTCCAGCACCCACTGCACTCAAAAAAGCTTTTGTTTTCTCAGCAGCATTGATGTGTGTGTGTGTGTGTATATAAGTATATATGTATTTTTTCACTTTTTTTTTTTTTTTTTGAGAGAGAGTCTTGCACTGTCGCCCAGGCTGGAGTGCAGTGGCGCAATATCGGCTCACCGCAACCTCCGCCTCCTGGGTTCAAGCAATTTTCCTGCCTCAGCCTCTAGAGTAGCTAACACCACAGAAATGCATCACCACTCCCAGCCGATTTTTTGTATTTTTAGTAGAGATGGGGTTTCACCCTATTGGCCAGGATGGTCTCTGTCTCCTGACCTCATAATCTGCCTGCTTTGGCCTGCCAAAGTGCTGGGATTAGAGGCGTGAGCCACTGCGCCCAGCCTTCACTTCTTTTTAACTTACCTTGTTTTCACCAAAGCGGTGGCTGCTATTAAGACTCCTGGGAGCGCCTCTGGATTCCCCGGCCTTAGTGTCCTCCCACCTGAGCACTTGTTCTGCTTGTCCCCTGCCTTCCCCTGCCTGTGAGGCCAGCCTCAGCACTGTACAGGGCAGTTCTGGGCCAGGTGGCACATCAGGGTCCCCCGTGACCAGCCTGCCTGCCCCATCTTGCAGCACCATTGCCGAGCATGTGGGCAGATCTTCTGTGGGAAGTGTTCCTCCAAGTACTCCACCATCCCCAAGTTCGGCATCGAGAAGGAGGTGCGCGTTTGCGAGCCCTGCTATGAGCAGCTGAACAAGTGAGTCCCCTCCGCTCAGGCCTCAGGCGGGGCAGGCCCTCCAGGCCGGCCTTTTGTTCCTCTTGGCCATGGTGCATGAGGCCTGTAGACCCAGAGGGCCCTCGGCACAGCAGCTGGAAAGGTCAAGGGAATCCCAGGGCGGCTGCACTCCTGCGGACCCTGCCCCATATGAGGACAGGCGGGTAGGTGTGCAAGGCCAAGCGCTATGGCTCCTGGGACTGAGGCTGCTCTGGCCGGCCTGTTGCTTGGGCTTGGGTTTGGATTCATTTCTATTTCAAGTTTTGGAAATAAAGCTTACAGAAAGGTTGCAAGGGCATCAAGAGAACCTGCAGGGCCACGCTGGACCTCGCCAGTGGGCGTCTTGCCACAGAGTTGAGTCACATCGTTCCCCTATGCGTGCGCATGTTCACACAGAGGTTTTGCTGGTTTGGTTTGGTTTGGTTTGTTCTGAGACGGAGTTTCGCTGTTGTTGCAGTGGCACAATCTCAGCTCATCACAACCTCTGCCTCCCAGGTTCAAGCAATTCTCCTGCCTCAGCCTCCCGAGTAGCTGGGATTACAGGCACATGCCACCACACTTGGCTGATTTTTTTTGGTATTTTTAGTAGAGAAGGGATTTTTCCATGTTGGTCAGGCTGGTCTCAAACTCTTGACCTCAGATGATTAGCCCACCTTGGCCTCCCAAAGTGCTGGGGTTATAGGCACGAGCCCCTGGGTGTGGCCTCACACAGGCTTTTTTACTTTTTTATTATTTTTATTTTTTCCCCCCACCCTCCCTCCACACACAGGTTGTTTTACTTTTTTATTGTTTATTTCTATTTTTCCCCCACCCTCCCTTCACACACAGGTTGTTTTACTTTTTTATTGTTTATTTCTGTTTTTCCCCTACCCTCCCTTCACACACAGGTTTTATACTGAATTTCCGTGAATGCGGACGTCACGCACACATACCTTCCCATGTGGTCCGTGAGAGGGAGAGTGCTCTCTGGTCCCAGCGGTCGCTCAGGACTGCGCTGCACCCAGTGCTGGCTTTTGCTATCTGGTCCCCGCAGCGTGGCTGTGGGTCTGCCCTGGGTGCACACCTGGTGTGTGTGGGCCGTGGTCACTTCTTAGTTCTCTTCTCCTGGAGTGTGTCCTTACCTCCCTATCTTGCTCCTGGGACATGTCTGGGAGGTGAGACCATGGCTGCCTGCCCCTGTTTAGGTCTGAGGCTTCCATCTGCTTAGGTTTGGGAACCCCAGGGGCAAGAGCATGCCCTCCTCAGGGTCCGATCGACCCAGCCATGTCCGGTGATGGGCTGCTGCCCCAGGAAGTTCCTTTTTCTTCCTGTGACAGAAGAGCTTTTCTTGAGCCATGGCAGCGTCCCCTCCATTGCGACCACTGCCCACATGTGTGAGTGTGCTATGCCCCAGCAGCTCCAGGGCAGGGTATCCCGACACCATCGCTGCCTCATAAATGGCCGGCATTCCCCCGTCCCGGGGACTGTGCAGGTCTGCTTTGGCGTGGACTTTTCCCTTAGAAAAGAGCCCCAGGTCAGCTGGACATGGTGGCTCATGCTTGTAATCCCAGCATTTTGGGAGGCTGAGGCGAGTGGATCATGAGGTCAGGAGATTGAGACCATCCTGGCCAAGGTGAAACCCTATCTACTAAAATAAAAAACTTAGCCGGGCGTGGTGGCACACGCCTGTAGTCCCAGCTACTCAGGAGGCTGAGGCAGGGGGATCGCTTGAATCCGGGAGACAGGTTACACTGAGCTGAGATAGTGCTACTGCACTCCAGCCTGGTGACAGAGCAAGACTCCATCTCAAAAAAAAAAAAAAAGAAAGGAAAGGAGCCCCAGGTCAAAGGTCAGCATGCATGGTTTGAAATTGCGACCGCACGGTGAATGTGTGGCCCTGGACTGCCTGGGACTCTGGAAGAGCTGACTGGGTGTGACAGGCGCTGTTGTGTCGGAAGCTTCTTGGGTGGGGCCTGCACACAGTGGTGGTGCTGTGGTCCGTGTCCTGAGCCCCTAGAAAGGGCTCTGCAGGCTTGCTGGTGTCCTGAATGTCAATTTTCAGGAGACGCCCTGGGGCTTAGACTGAGGGACTCACCCGGGCCCTGGGGCTGGTGTGAGGCTCGACTCCTGCCCTGCTCCTCTCTGGTGTGTGGCGTGGAACCACTGTCATCACTGTGGGGACACACAGGAGCCTGCGGAGGTGCGATTCAGAACTTTGGTGGACACAGGGTGGCGTCAGCTCCTGGTCACCTGCGGCATCCCCTCATACCCACAGGAAAGCAGAAGGAAAGGCCACCTCAACCACCGAGCTGCCCCCCGAGTACCTGACCAGCCCCCTGTCTCAGCAGTCCCAGGTACTCAGTCCCCTCCATCCCGTGGGCCTCTCTTCCCCAGGACCCCCCTCACCTTTCACACTCATCCTCAGCTGCCGCCCAAGAGGGATGAGACGGCCCTGCAGGAGGAGGAGGAGCTGCAGCTGGCCCTGGCGCTGTCCCAGTCGGAGGCGGAGGAGAAGGAGAGGCTGGTAAGCTGGGTGAGATGGGGTGGCCGTGGTGGAGCCAGAGGGTGTGCCCCCAAGTGACGCCCCTCTTAACTCTGCCTCAGAGACAGAAGTCCACATACACTTCCTACCCCAAGGCGGAGCCTGCACCCTCGGCGTCCTCCGCGCCCCCCACGAGCAGCCTGTACTCTTCACCTGTGGTGAGCGGCCTCGGGCTGGGGCCACCTCCCCTGGGAGGGAGTAGTGTTGGTGGGGGATGCGGGTCCCTGGCTGCCCAGAGAGGATGGCCCAGCACACGGGTGACATCAGGGTAGAGCCCTGCTGCTCCAGGCCCCTGTGCCTCCCAGTCCCTGGTTCAGCCCTTGGCACTGAGGACATGGGAGCAGCTGTGGGGACAGCCCCTTGCTGGTGAGGCCTAGTCTCTCCCACTCTCCTCCTGCTCCACAGGGATTGAAGGCCTTGCTTTCTGGGGCACACATCTCACCTCTCCCTGGCCTCAGCCCCGATCTCAGTAGCCGCTGAAGATGCAGCCTGATTTGCAGGGGGTGGGGTCGGGGACAGCAGGTTGATAAAGTCATTTTGTAGGTTCTGTGGAGTGGCCAGGCTGCTGCAGGCTGGGGCTCAGAAAGCCCCATCCCAGTGAGCCACCCCTCCCTTCTCCCCTCCTTCCTGGGCTGTTGGCTGGGACCCACACACAGGACCGTGTGGGGGCTGTCCAGTGTCCACTTCGGGGCCCCAGGTCTGGCCTGGTGCCGCCCTGTTCCTCCCATAGCAAGATTAGGAACCTCATGGCTATGGGGCGCCAGCCTTGGTGGAGTGTTAAGTATCTGGAAGAGGATGACGATGGCCGTCAGATGCCAGGAACCGGAGGAGGGCAGGAGGGAGGGCCCAGGTTGCGGCTCTGCTCTCCAGGGTCCACCGGCACCATCCCAGTCCCTGCCTGAGCAGCCGCTCCCTATCAGCCTGTGACACTCCGATGCCCCTTCCTCCCCAGAACTCATCAGCTCCTCTGGCTGAGGATATCGACCCTGAGGTAAGGCCCAGTGCAGGGCACGTCCTCTTGTGGTTTATGGCCTTGGGAGTGACCCCCTTGTTGCCTGCAGCTTGCACGGTACCTCAACCGGAACTATTGGGAGAAGAAGCAGGAGGAGGCTTGCAAGAGCCCCACGCCGTCTGCACCTGTGCCCCTCACGGAGCCGGCCGCCCAGCCCGGGGAGGGACATGCAGCCCCCACCAATGTAGTGGAGGTGAGGGGCCCAGTCCTGGTGTTCCTGGTGCAGGGTCCCTTGGATGGGGTGGACGCGGGACAGGCCCGAGACCCTCCTCTTTCTCTTCCAGAACCCCCTCCAGGAGACAGACATGCAGCCCATTCCTCCCTCTGGTGGCCCCTTTAGTGAGGTAAGCTGTGGCTCCCTTCACAGGCCAGGGGAAAACATGGCCACAGCCTCCTGGCCCACAGTAACAGGCACATGGCACAGGTGCCTGCCCTAACCAGAAGGTCACTCCAGAGCAAGCGTGTCCACCCCGGCCTGGACCTGGCCCACCATGCCCAGAGTGGCTTCTCCCAATGGAAACTGTGTGCACTGGGCTGTGGTCCAGAGCCCAGGCCACTCTGTGGACCTGACGTGGACCTGAATATTCCAGAGCAGCCTAGAACCACTGGATGTGTCCTTGGCCTTCCCTAGTACTTCTGGGCTGACTGGCTGTCAGAGCTCAGGGCCTTGGAGAAGGAGGCAGGCCCCATGCCACCAGGCAGCAGGGCCCTGAGCCAGCTCCGTCCTGACCAGTGCTGTGCTGCTGGACAAGGACCCAGCCTCCGGGACCTCGCCTTCCGTTCTAGTAGAGGCTGCTTCTGTGAGGAGCAGATTGACTCTGCCCCAGGCCTGAGCGGAACTGGGTGCCTCCGTCCGGGGCCCCACCGGGGAGGCCAGCTAGGCCATGGCTGAGGCTGCACTCATCCGGCCCCTGCTCTGTCTGCAGCCACAGTTCCACAACGGCGAGTCCGAGGAGAGCCATGAGCAGTTCCTGAAGGCGCTGCAGAATGCCGTCACCACCTTCGTGAACCGCATGAAGAGCAACCACATGCGCGGGCGCAGCATCACCAACGACTCGGCCGTGCTGTCACTCTTCCAGTCCATCAACGGCATGCACCCACAGCTGTTGGAGCTGCTCAACCAGCTGGACGAGCGCAGGCGTAGGTGCCCATCCCTCGGGGCCTCGGCTCAGGGGCAGCCAGGCATTGGGAGCGCCATCCCGCACTAGACCCAGGCTGGGGCCTCCCCTGAGGTTGCCAGTATCATCTTATGAGTCCTTCACTGAAGCTATAGCTTCAGTGGGTCTCAGGAGGGTCTCAGGAGGAGGTGGTCTCCATGATGACCCTGACTGCCCCGCCTGCCTCCCCAGATCCCAGGGCCTGTAGAGCTCTCTGCAGAAGGCAGGGCACAGGGTGGCCCATCTGCAAGTCTGTTCCACCCAGGAGCATCTCAGTGCTGTGTCAGAGTGCTCAGAGCTGCTCTGTTGTCTGCCCACAGTGTACTATGAGGGGCTGCAAGACAAGCTGGCCCAGATCCGCGATGCCCGGGGGGCGCTGAGTGCCCTGCGTGAAGAGCACCGGGAGAAGCTTCGACGGGCAGCCGAGGAGGCAGAGCGCCAGCGTCAGATCCAGCTGGCCCAGAAGCTGGAGATCATGCGTCAGAAAAAGCAGGTGCAGTGGCTGCCCAGCTGTGGGCTGGGGACTCACCGGGTGACCACAGAGGGTATCCAGCCACAGGCCAGGGAAGGCTGGGGACCTACCGTGTGACCAGCACCTTTTGGTGCACAGGAATACCTGGAGGTGCAGAGGCAGCTGGCCATCCAGCGCCTGCAGGAGCAGGAGAAGGAGCGGCAGCTGCGGCTGGAGCAGCAGAAGCAGACAGTCCAGATGCGTGCGCAGATGCCTGCCTTCCCCCTGCCCTACGCCCAGGCACGTGCCATTCTCCCACTGCCCAGGGGCTCGTGAGCTGAGGACCAACTCTCACCACAGTCTCCTTTGTCCCCAGCTCCAGGCCATGCCTGCAGCTGGAGGCGTGCTCTATCAGCCCTCGGGACCTGCCAGCTTCCCCAACACCTTCAGCCCCGCAGGCTCAGTGGAGGGTTCCCCCATGCATGGCGTGTACATGAGCCAGCCAGCCCCTGCTGCCAGCCCCTACCCCAGCATGCCCGGCACTGCAGCAGGTAAGGATGGGTTGGGGCAGAGGACGCTTTTTTCCCCACATCTTTATTTTAGCCGAATTTACAGAAAAGCGGTAAGAATGGTGCAAAGGGTTTTCCAGATTGCCCCGATGTGAATTTTTTCACTTTTGCTTTTTCCTGTTTCCATGCAAATGACCTCGCGACGGCTTTCCTGCTGAAGCCGCTTTTCAGGTAGGGGCGGGTGCTGCCCTCCCCACCAATGCGACAGTGAGCTCTTTCTGAAACCAGCAGGCACTGGGCTGCCCAGTCCAGTCTGTAGCAGGCTCCGCCCTCATGGGCAGTCCCCCTGGTGTCCTGTACGAACAGCATGCCCAGTGACTGGTGCCATTTAGCCCTCCCTCCTCTCGTGGCCTTTAATCTACAACATTCCCCAGTCAGCCTTTGTGTTTTGTGACATCGACTGTCCCAAGAGCCTGTCGTCTGGCAGACTATCCTCTTGGGTTTGTCTGGTGTCTCCACGCAGTGATTGGGGCTGTGCTTTTCCTTGGAGCAGCACAGAAGGTGATGTGGGTCCTGTCACTCAGCCCCATTGCCATCCATTTGGATGAGACAGGCTCTACCAGGGGTTTTCACTGTAAAGCGACTGTCACCCCTTGTAATGAAGTGTGTCTTGGGGGAGACTTTCCGGATATGCCTGGACTCCTCAAGCTCTACTGTTGTTTTGCCAGTGCTGCCTGGGTTTATTGTAGTGTTTGCCAGATTGCGCCTTCTAATTATGCTGTTGTCTTTCCACTGGAGGGAGGTGCTCTTCCTGCTCTGCTTACCGGCAGTTACAGCAGCGTGGAGACGTGCATTTTTTCTTTCAAAGATTGCAGTTCTCTATTATCACTCCTTTTTTTTTTTTTTTTTTTTTAAGAGACGGTTTCTCTCCATGTTAGTCAGGCTGGTCTTGAACTCCCAACCTCAGGTGATCTGCCCACCTCGGCCTCCCAAAGTGTTGGGATTACAGGCGTGAGCCACCGCGCCTGGCCTATTATCACTCTGAGTCAGGTTTTGCTGTCACCCTGCTAGAGTGCAGTGGCATGATCATGTTTCACTGCAGCCTAGACCTCCTGGTCTCAAGCAATCCTCCTGCCTCAACCTCCTGAGTAGCTGGGACTACAGGAGTGTGCCACCATGCCTGGCTAATTTAAAGAAAAAGGCCTGGCACAGTGGCTCAGGCCTGTAATCCTCGTACTTTGGGAGGCTGAGGCAGGTGGATCACAAGGTCAGGAGTTCAAGACCAACCTGGCAAAGATGGTGAAACCCCATCACTACCAAAAATACAAAAATTATCTGGGCCTGGTGGCGAGCGCCTATAATCCCAGCTACTCGGGAGGCTGAGGCAGAGAATCGCTTGAACCTGGGAGGCGGAGTTGCAGTGAGCCGAGATCCCGCCACTGCATTCTAGCCTGGGTAACAGAGTGAGACTCTGTCCCAGAAAAAAAGAAAAAAAATTGTAGATATGAGGTCTTTCTGTGTTCCCTAAGCTGACCTCAAAACTCCTGACCTCAGGTGGTCCACCCTTCTTGGACCCCCAAAGTGCTGGGATTATGGGCACCCACCACCATGCCCGGCCCCAGGATTCCCAGGTGTGGCCATGGGAAGCATCTGGCTTCTCTCTTGGGTACAGCCTCGGTTTTGGATGCTCCTGAGTCTCTGTTCCTGGATAGTCTGTGCTTTTCTTACATGTTCTCAGCCCTAGGACCAGCCATTTCTCCAAGGAGCCCTAGTTTCTTTTAGTGGAGGGTAGTCTGGATCTTGGTTAGAAGCCAAGATTGAGATCTGGGTGTGCTCACAGCTCTAGGTTGGCAGACACAGCTGGGAAGTGCATATGTACACACAAGTGCTCACTTGAGTGTGTGTGCATGTGTGAACACATGCGTCTTTATCTGTATATGGTAAAAACCATGAGTTTGTCCAGGTGTGGTGGCTCCTGCTTGTAATCCCAGCACTTTGGGAGGCCGAGGCGGGGATGGATTACTTAAGACCAGCCTAGCTAAGATGGTGAAACCCCATCTCTACTAAAAATACGAAAATTACCCGGGTGTGGTGGCACGGACCTGTAGTCTCAGCTACTCAGGAGGCTGAGGCAGGAGAATGGCTTGAACCCGGGAGGCAGAGGTTGCAGTGAGCCGAGATCATGCCATTGCACTCCAGCTTGGGTGACAGAGCAAGAGACTGTCTCAAAACCAAACAAAACAAAAACAAAAACAAAACAAAAAAAAAAAAAACCTTGAATTCATTCTAGTACTTGCAGTTTTAATTAAATAGCATAGTTTTGTTTGGCATTGTCTTCAATATACTTACTTGCTCAGCCCTAGAATACATGAAAAGTAGTTTCAGGAATGCTGTCCTGGCCCATTGTGGAGATGATGCCTCCTAACCCGAGTGTAATATTTGTCTGTATTTCCTGTCATCTGCAGCCTGAGGCTGTGGAGTCCAGATTCTGGGTTCTGAAGTTATTGGGATTCACTCTCCCATCCCATCGGTCAGACCATGTCACTCATTTAAAATACAGTTTGGTTCCTTTCTTCTGATTTCATTCCATTCTGGGATTCTCCTCCATCCTTGCTGGTTTATCTTCTTTTTTTTTTTTTTTTTTTTTTTGAGATGGGAGTCTCACTCTGTCGCCCAGGCTGGAGTGTAGTAGTGTGATCTTGGCTCACTGCAACCTCTTTGCCTCTCGATTAGCTGTGATTACAGGCATGTGCCACCATGCCCAACTAATTTTTGTATCTTTAGTAAAGACGGGGTTTCACTGTGTTGGACAGGCTGGTCTTGAACTCCTGACTTCATGATCCGCCCGCCTTGACCAATGGCACCACTGCACTCCAGTCTCCACAACACAGTGAGATTTGGTCTCAAAAAACAAAAAAGGAAAACTGAAGAGAAGGGTGTCCCTTCCTCCCTTCCACATTGCCCTGGCTGAACCATCTCACCTGTCTTGTTTGTCACAGATCCCAGCATGGTGAGCGCCTACATGTACCCAGCAGGGGCCACTGGGGCGCAGGCGGCCCCCCAGGCCCAAGCTGGGCCTACCGCCAGCCCTGCCTACTCATCCTATCAGCCCACTCCTACAGTGGGCTACCAGGTATGCAGGCAAAGCCACTCCCCACCTCCACGGCCAGCCCAGCCCCTTCTCCCATGGCACCCATTCCACCCACAGAACGTGGCCTCCCAGGCCCCGCAGAGCCTCCCGGCCATCTCTCAGCCTCCGCAGTCCAGCACTATGGGCTACATGGGGAGCCAGTCAGTCTCCATGGGCTACCAGCCTTACAACATGCAGGTACGGTGACCTCCAGGCTCTGCTAGGGGCTGGGGTGGGGGAGCAGAGTTGACACTGAGGGTCTTGGTGAGGCTAGCGGGCACTTGGTGGGCCCCCCCCCCTTCTGTCCTCCCCTCAACTCTCTGGGCTCTTCTTGTCCCCTTTGGATTGTTGCAAGCCAGAAACACCCCCTGGCTGTGTGGTCACAGGGCTACTCTTTGACATCTGGCTTTTTCTCACAACAGAATCTCATGACCACCCTCCCGAGCCAGGACACATCCCTGCCACCCCAGCAGCCCTACATTGCAGGGCAGCAGCCCATATACCCACAGGTGAGGCATTCCCAGGGCCTCTCAGCAGCATCCGCAGTGCAGCTTCAGTCTTCTGGTTTACGGGTGGGTCTCCTGGCCCCAGTGGGGATTGTCCTGTACGCCTGCCCATACTGGGAGACGCATACCCGAGGCCCCTCCTTAGAAGACAGAATGAGGATACGAGTCTTAGAGCAGACACGTGTCCACAAGTGGAGACAGGAAAAATCATGAATGCACTTGAAAGCCAAAGGCCACATGAGCTCCACTCAGTGGACATGAATGACAGGCTCCTGTGGGTCTGCAGCTCTGCTGGGACTAAAGCCTTCCTCCCACGACCGGGAAGGGAGGACCAGGGCCATGCCTGCTCTCCTCCCAACAGATGGCGCCCTCCGGCGGTCCCCCCCAGCAGCAGCCCCCCGTGGCCCCGCAGCCACTGGCACAGGGGCCTCCAGCACAGGGCAGTGAGGCCCAGCTCATCTCATTCGACTGACCCAGGCCATGCTCTTGTCCAGAGTAACACTACAGTTCACCCAAAACGCCTCGTCTCTAACTGCCGCCATCCCGCCTCCCCATTCTCTCCTTCCGCTAGTGTCCCTTCTCTGCGAGTGAGCGGGCCTTCACCCCAAGCCTGCCTCTCTCCCTATCCTCAGCCCGCTGCAGTCCCTGAGTTGGTTTCTGCCTTCTTTCCCCAGGGCTGGGCCATGGGGAGGGAAGAAGGGAGGGAAGTCCCCATCCTGTGGGTCATGGTCTGGAGAGGTGCCAGGAATGGGGACTTTCAGCCCCCCACGCAGCCTGTGCCCTCTGGCCCCACTGTGAGCTGGCTGTGGTGTCTGGGTGTGGCCTGGGGTGCCCTCTGCAGGGGCCTCTCGGCTGCCACAGCCAAGGGTGGACGCTTCAGGTCTCCAGCTTCTCTGCTTCTCAGCTGTCATCTCCAGTGCCCCAGAATGGAACAGTGATAATAAAATATATTTCAGAAAGCATCAGCATTGTGGGTTCTTAAATTTTTTTTAAATTTTCTGTCGCCCAGGCTGGAGTGCAGTGGCAGTGTCCACCTCCCTCCTCTCACTGCAAGCTCTGCCTCCCAGGTTCAAGGGATTCTTGCTTTTCAGCCTCCCTAGTGGCTGGGAGTACAGGTGCAGGCCACCACCACACCTGGCTAGTTTTTGTATTTTTAGTAGAGACGGGGTTTTGCCAAGCTGGTCTTGAACACCTGACCTTGGGATCCGCCCGCCTCAGTCTCCTAAAGTGCTGGGATTACAGGCCTGAGCCACTGCGCCCAGCCTGCCTCAGCGTTTGCTCAAGAGGCGAGTGGTGGGGCTGAGGGGCCAGCTGCGGGCAGAGTTGTGTTCAGCCTGTCCCTCCCTGAGGCACGCAACCCGTTCAGCTGCGTGCCAGGGTTCACCTGTGTACTGCGCAGCCCTGCACTGACCCTGCCTGAGGCTGAGGAGTTTGGACTTGGCGCCGCCTCCGTGTGGTGGCTGAAGGGAGCCGGGTGCTGAGTCCCCGGCCAGGGGCAGAAGGCTAAAACGCCCTTCCCGAGTGTTGAAAGCGGCAGGCGCCGGCCTTTGCACCCAGAGGCCAGGGCGTCTCACGCACGTTCTCATCCAGGCCTCTTAAGGGAGCGCGGCTTTGGCTCTTCCAGGAAGGAATGACTCGAACAGACAGGAAAGAGGGAGGTGTGGAAAGGCGGGCGGGATAAGCAGGTACTGGGGCCCGCGCCGCATCTGGAGGCTCCGCCTGTTCTGATCTGAAGGCGGAGGCTCAGCCGCGCTCTCCCAAGAAGCCACCAGGGTGTTTGGGGCTTTAGCTGGGAAAGGGGATGTCGCTTACCGCTCCGACCGCGACGGCAGCACTGGGGGCCCCAGGCGGGCGTGATACGCGGGTTACTGCGGGCTCCGGGCCCCATTCCCGGTTCGCATCGCGCATGGACAGGAACCCGTGAGCTCCGGAGAAAGAATACGCGAATGCGGAGTCCCCAGGCCCCGTGGCTCCTTTACGCGACCCCACAACCCGGAGGGAAGAAAGGACCCAGGTGCCCAGGTGCCACCAACCGACGTCGCTTTTGCGCCTGCTCAGCGGGCTGCCTTGTGGGTACTCTCAGAGTGAGACGAGGCTAGAGCAAAGTGCGGCCAGAGCGTCACTCCTGCCTCTAATGCCCGGCGGCCGTAACGGCTAGAGCGCCACTCCTTGCTCGACTGTCCGGAGGTCTTGGCGGCTAGAGCGGCCCTCCCCAGCTCGAATGCCCGGCGGCCTTGGCGGCTAGAGCGTCGCTACTCAGCTCGAATGCCCGGCGGCTGAGGCGGCTAGAGCGTCGCCTTCTCCGGGAACCGCGTGTGACCTTCCAGCCCGCGGACCGATGCTGCCGGCGGCCGCTCGCCCCCTGTGGGGGCCGTGCCTTGGGCTTCAGGCTACTGCGTTCCGCCTCGCCAGGTACCGCGGGATCCTGGGGCGCCAGGACCGGGCTGGCGGACAGGGTAGGGGGCGGCCGGACACTGAGGGGCCGATCCGGGCGGAGGCAGGCGGCGGAGCCGGCCTCCCTGCAGCGCGCAGACTGGGCTTGGGTGTCTTAGCGGGGTGAGGGGAGGAGGCCTACCGGTGCGCACCCCCCATTCCTCCTGGGCAGCAGAAAGCGCCGGGGTCGGCCCCAGATGACCTTGGACGATTCTCTGCTTCTCCCCGGCCTCAGCCTCTTCCGCGGCAAAGGCCGTCCGTGCGTGCGGCGTTTTTCGGCCAGGGGGCCACACATTTTGGGAGCCTTCCGCAGGAAGATGCACCTAAGTAATAGTTTTACCACGGCTGGGTTGATGTACTTTATTCAAACCAGAAGCTTGAGGTTTGAGCGGTCTAGCTGCAAATAAACACCTGGTTTTCTAAGGCTTCTTGAAGAATTTAAAGTAACTTGCAAATCTTTTTTATCAATATGGACCCCTTGAGGTCTGAAAACCCTGGGCTGGGACCAAGGAGCTAGGTAATTTTCGACCGTAGTGATTACCAGCCTGAGTTTATGGCCAACACCCACCCCTTGGTTTCTGTCCTGTCGCCCTGGTCTCTGCAGCCCCCTCCATTCCAGGGCTGACAGCTGTTTGAATTGGGGGTGGGGGCTAGGCAGCAGGTGCCATGTGTCTGTGCCGTGCGACATGTGAGAAGCAGCAGCCATCGGAGGGGTGAGGCCCTTGCTGGTGCACCCCTGGATAACACCCCGAAGGAGTACCCCCCCAAGATTCAGCAACTGGTTCAGGACATCGCCAGCCTCACTCTCCTGGAGATCTCAGACCTCAACGAGCTCCTGAAGGTATCGTGAGAGGGTGGCCCAGACCCAGGGGCTGGAAGATTGTCTGGGGGCTGCTATGTTTTGTTCCCGGTGTATTTTTGAAGTTTGGTAAATTGTCAGAAGCCCGTTTGTCTAGGTGCAAGGCCCATGCCTGGCTGGTTGCTCTTCCTCCGTGTGTTCTGGCTGGTGTGGGGGCAGCTGTGGACACTGTTGTCTATCTTTGCAGAAAACGTTGAAGATCCAGGATGTGGGGCTTGTGCCGATGGGTGGTGTAATGCCTGGGGCTGTCCCTGCTGCAGCAGCCCAGGAGGTGAGTCCTGGGCAGAAAGAGGCATTTCTGTGGTGCCTATTTGGCCTGTGGCCTCACGTGCCATGGCCCCTTATGTCAGCTTCTGCAGCCACCATCATGTCTGCAGCCTTCACACCTGTGCAGGCCCCATGCAGCCTCCCAGGACCTACTCCCTGCCATGGATATGCACGTCCTTGGCACGTGGAGACCATGTTTCTAATGGAGAGAAACAGATATTAAGAGAAGAAACAGGCCGAGCGCAGTGGCTCACACACGCCTGTTATCCTAGCACTTTGGGAGGTTGAGGTGGGCAGATCACTTGAGGTCAGGAGTTCAAAGCCAGCCTGGCCAACATGGTGAAACCCTGTCTCTACTAAATTAGCTGGGCATGGTGGAGGCTGAAGCAGGAGAATCACTTGAACCAGGGAGGCGGAGGTTGCCATGAACCAAGATCACACTACTGCCCTCTAGCCTGGCAACAGAGCAAGACCCTGTCACAAAACAAAAAGAGAAAGAGAGGAAAAAGAAAGGAAGAAATTATACCAAATAGAACGTTGTAAGCATTATGGAGAAAAGGAGGGAAGAAGCTTAAGGTGAGAGGGAGAGTTACAAGTTCAAAGAGGAGGCAGTCATGGCAGAAGAGACTTCCTGGCAGAGGAGGGGGAGGTACCAGGGCCACCAAGCAAGAGGGTTGTAGTTCAGGGAGCAGCATGGAGGTGGGGGCTGGCACAGATGAAGGGGCGTAACAGGCAGCTCTGTCCCTGGGTCTCTGCAGGGAAATCAACGGTCATGAGGTTGTATAGGCCTCTCCACTGGCACCCTCCCTTTAGCCCCTTTCCCCCACTAGAACCAGGTCATGTCCCATAGAGGGTCCCACATTCCAAATGTGTAGGGTGTCCATGGTGCATCATCACTCTCACGCCTGAGACCTGGAAGGCAGTTTAAAGGCTGAGGAGATTCAGGCTGAGCGTTTGGGTAAGAATAGCTGGGATTACTGCAGAACCTGCTGTGTAAACTGGATTGCTTTTCAGGATGGAGGGGATGTTATTAACAACTGGACAGCAGGCCCAACCCAGCCCGCACCAGGGCACGGGGACATACAGCCCCCTGCCCTCAGGTACTGCTGGGTCTCCATGCATCACGTCAGAAGCGCAGTGTGTCCGTCAGTCCCCTGGCAGGTTGTCAGTTTGTCATTATGACATCATGAGGACAGGAGTGGCGCTGCTTTTCTGTAACTTTATTTTACATACAAAGCACTTTTGATGTCATACTTTCCTGTTATAAGTTACACATTCTAAGGGAGAGGGGAGTAGAGTGTTGAGGGAAGGATTGAACTGTGTTTTTTTTTTTTTGAGACTGAGTCTCACTCTGTCACCCAGGCTGAAGTGCAGTGGTACGATCTTGGCTCATTACAACCCCCGCCTCCTGGGTTCAAGTGATTCTCCTGCCTCAGCTTTCTGAGTAGCTGGAATTATAGGCACATGCCACCACACCCGGCTAATATGTTTGTATTTTTAATAGAGACGGGGTTTCACCATGTTGGCCAGGCTGGTCTCAAACTGCTGACTTCAAGTGATCCACCCACCGCAGCCTCCCAAAGTGCTGGGATTACAGGCGTCAGCCACCGGCTGAGGCATGTTTGGGAAGTCTTCTTGGGCAGATCTGCTCTGACTAGCTATGCAAGAGGAAAAGCACCAGCTGGTTAAGGATTAACGAGTTGGGAGACCTGACTTCCAACTCCAGGCATCGCTGGGGCTTCCCTGTGCCTCCCTTTGGGGCTTTAGAATGGCTGACATAGCAGTGGAGGTGTTACCACCCCCGACCATTTCTCACCTGGCCCCCCTTCTTTCCTACTCCCTAAGGTCGTGGAAGAAGAAATCCCCAAACTGAAAGAACAGACACATTTCACTGTCCGCCTGACCGAGGCCAATCCTGTGGACAAAGTGAAGCTGATCAAGGAGATCAAGAACTACATCCAGGGCATCAACCTCGTCCAGGTGGGGCCCGCGCCACAGCAGCCAGTTCTGAGGCAGGTTTGGGACTGGCGGCCTGGGGCCCCGGGTCTCTGACTTCACTCTCTCTGGTAGGCAAAGAAGCTGGTGGAGTCCCTGCCCCAGGAAATCAAAGCCAATGTCGCCAAAGCCGAGGCGGAGAAGATTAAGGCGGCCCTGGAAGCGGTGGGCGGCACTGTGGTTCTGGAGTAGCCTCCAGCACCGAGGACTTGTGTTCAGGGGTCCCTGGGACCGGGTGAGGCCCCGCCCTCCTGTGGCCATTGGCTGCCCCCCCAGCACCAGGCGCCCAGAGGAGCAGTTTGGGAGTGAGAACCGCGTGTGCCACGCAGCGAGGCCGGACAGGCGACACAGACCTGTGGCGGGGAGGGAGGGACGGCTGCTGCCTGGGGAGGGCACCGGGAGGCCCACCAGGACGTGCCACTGGTGAATGTGCCTCTGGTGGCCGCTGAGAAGAATACACCGTGCAGCTGAGTGTGTGGAGTGCTGTGCTGTGGCTGGGCTTTGGGGCCAGCACAGGGATCAGGGCTGGTACAGGATGGCAGGCTTGTTCCTGCCCCCTCCAGCTGACAGCTGAGAGTCTACAGACATTCACCAGGTCGCCTGTGTGCGAGGCCTGTCCTGAGATCCCACAGCAGGCTGGGTGGATGGCAGTGGAGTGGTGGACCTGGGCCCATCCTGTTTGGGGGGGTTTGAGTGTGAACCTCCCTATTTTGAGTGTTGGCCCTCTTAAGGCAGCAGGAAGTTCAGCACTTGCCTAAGAAACTGAGGCAGCCTCGGAGCCAGCAGTGCCACCCCTAGCTCAGGCTGCAAGTACGCCTGAATCTAAGCCTGGCAAGGGCTGTGTGGGTGGGAGGGGTGGGGTGTGGGGTGTACTTTGTATCTGCAGAGTTGGGTGTCAGCTGCTCTTCTGGGGCCCATAAGTGGGGGATCCTTGGACCTGGGCAAAGTGGCAGGAGGGGCTTGTGGACATGAGGACTGGGAGTAGCAGGGCCAGCTTAGCGCAGTGGTCACTGTGCACTCAGTGGGTTTCTGTCCCAGCTCACCCATGACCAAGGCCAGCCCCCAGGTTGTGGGCCCACCACAAGGCCAGAGACAGGGTGCGTTTAGCATCTGCTTTGGGAAACATGTCTGATGTGAAGGCCCCATGGGCAGCCATGCCCTCCAGCCTCAGTTTCCCTGGTGGAAGAATGCCTTGCATGGGACCAGCAAGGGGCCCTGTGTGTTTGGGACCTGCCCAGTGGCTGGGATGCCTGGGGAGAGGCAGAGTTTCAGGCTCACTGTGGGTGCCCACACCGTTCCTGCCCAGGTCCCCTTCCAAGGCCTTCTGGTACAGTTTCTCTGATTAACATGCTGTCTCCAGGACAGGCTATGCCACAAGCCTGGAAGTTCTCATTGGCCATGGTAGCCATTTGAGGGGTTTATGATTCTTCCCTGAGGAGGACACCATCGCCTGGGGCTGGGTGCCTTCTGCCTGGTGCCTTGCTGACCCCAGCTGCCTTTTCCCCCTGGAAGGCAGTGAACATCTGAGCTCAGGGGCCAGTCTTGCTTGGGGTCAGACAGGCAAGCTATCTTCATCCGGGCTGCCCCGCGGCCGGATAAGCTGGCAAAAATCTCCCAACAAGACTCCTACTGTCTGCCTTCATCCAGGAACCCACCAGGCCACTCGCAGGAGTCACCAACAGGCTCTGTCCTCCCTGCTAGGGGTTCCCCAAGGTGACCTGTGCATGCCAAGGGGCAGGACACTGCCGTGGACACCAGGCCACAGTCCAGAGGACTGATGGGGTGGTCCTGTTCCATGTCCTCACCCAGCCTGCCCCAACCACCTCCTTGGGCCTACTGACATATGATCCATTTGAGAATTGCAGGGGTCTTCGTTAGTCCCCTAACCTACAGGTTACAAAATCCATCATTTGAAAAATAATTCATTTCCTGTTTCTTGGATGCATTTCCTGTTTCCCAGGATTCCTTGCCTTCCAGTTGCCCTCCCACAGCTCACGGAGTTCACACGTTTCAGTCTCCTGCTGCTCCTTGTGCTTTTTTCTTTTTTTTTTTTTTGAGACAGAATCTTGTTCTGTCACCCAGGCTGGAGTGTAATCTCGGCTCACTGCAACCTCCACCTCCTGGGTTCAAGCGATTCTCCTGCCTCAGCCTCCTGAGTAGCTGGGATTATAGATGTGCACCACCATGCCCAAATTTTTGTAATTTTAGTAGGGATGAGGTTTCACCATGCTGGCCAGGCTGGTCTCGAACTTCTGACCTCATTGCCCGCCCACCCGCCTCGGACTCCTGTAAGTTCTATTTTTTTAATGTTTATTTTAATTATTTATTTATTGTTTTGAAACAGAGTCTCATGCTGTTGCCCAGGTGCAATCTCGGCTCACTGCAGCCTCCACCTGCCAAATTCAAGTGATTCTCATACCTTAGCTTCCCAAGTAGCTGGGATTACAGGGTTACACAACTACGCCCAACTAATTTTCTATTTTTTTTAGTAGAGACAAGAGTTTCACTATGTTGGCCAGGCTGATCAAATTCCCTCAAGCAGTCGGTCTGTCTTGGCCTCCCAATGTGCCCAGCCTTATTTTTATTATTATTTTTGTTTGTTTGTTTTTTTGTTTTTGAGATGGAGTTTCGCTCTTGTTACCCAGGCTGGAGTGCAATGGCTCGATCTCGGCTCACCGCAACCTCTGCCTCCTGGGTTCAAGCAATTCTCCTGCCTCAGCCTCCCAAGTAGCTGGGACTACAGGCGCATGCCACCATGCCCAGCTAATTTTTGTATATTTAGTAGAGATGGGGTTTCACCTTGTTGACCAGGATGGTCTCAATCTCTTGACCTCAGGTGATCCATCCATCTCAGACTCCCAAAGTGCTGGGATTACAGGTGTGAACCACCATTCCCCACTTATTTTTATTTTTTATTTATTTATTTATTTATTTATTTATTTATTTTGAGACCGAATTTTGCTCTTGTCACCCAGGCTGGAGTGCAGTGGCACAGTCTCGGCTCACTGCAACCTCCACCTCCCGGGTTCAAGCAATTCTCCTGCCTTAGCCTCCTGAGTAGCTGGGATTATAGGCGTGCACCACCACACCCAACTAATTTTTGTATTTTTAGTAGAGACAGGGTTTCACCACATTGGCAAGGCTGGTCTTGAACTCTTTACCTCAGGTGATGTGCTCCCTTCGGCCTCCCAAAGTGCTGGGATTACAGGCAGGAGCCACCATGCCTGGCTTATTTTAAGTTTTTAATAGAGACAGGATCTCTGTCACCCTAGCTGGAGTGCAGTGGCTTGATCAAGGCTCACTGCAGCCTGGGCCTCCTGTGCTCAAGCAATCCTCCCGCCTCAGTCTCCCAAGTAGCTGGGACTACAGACATATGCCATCATGCCCAGCTAATCTTTTTTTTTGATTTTTTGTAGAGATGTGGTCTCACTGTGTTGCCCAGGCTGGTCCGAAACTCCTAGCCTCAAGAGATCCTCCTGCCTCGACCTCCCAAAATTCTGGGATTACAGGCAAGAGCTGCCATGCCCAGGCTTTTGTGTTCTTTGTAAATCTCTTTAGTTCCCACTCCTTAGCTGCTGGGCCCTGCTTTTCCTGCTTTGGATTGAGTCATTCAGCAGGGAGCCAGTGTTATATGGGTTGGGGTCTCTGCCAACAGCTGGTTCCCACCCTGTCTTTCGGGTGGCCTTGGGAAGGATGGGTTGCAGCCCAGGCCCAACCCACTCCTTACTGGAGTGTCTCACAGACTGAGGGGACACTGGTCTTCCAGGCCCTGCCTACCCCAAAGCTTCCATTACCTCTGATTCTTAGTAATTGGGAGCCGATGGATGCAACTCATCTTGGTTCAACTGAGTGAGACACGCTGCCATGGGTGCAGCCAAGTCTGTTGGACTGAGTCAGGCATGAGCCTGGATGGCCCTGGACAAGGAAGCCAGTCCAACACTTTCGCTGGGAAATTTCCATTACAATCAGGCCACCTCCCCCACTTCCTAACTGTTGAGTCTGTTGGCTCTGGGCATTTTAAGTCCAGCGTGATCCCTGAGGCCCTGTGGTGCATTTATGCCATCTCCATGCCCCCTGCTGAGCCCCAGCCCAGGCTTGCTGCAGGCAACGCTGCCCCCCACCCTCTTGGTGGCCTCTGGAGAACCTCCACCCGCCTCCCCAACAGGTGTGGCTGTTTCGACCCCCAGTGTCCACCCGGCCCCCTTCTCGATCGCACCTGAGGCACCCAGCCAAACCAAAGTCCAGGGAACACTTCCAGGCAGAGCCACCACCTCTGGCCAGCTGCTCACTCCCCAGCCCAGATCTTCTGTTGATGACCTCAGATCAGTGGTCACCCCAGAGTCTAGAGAACAGTCTCCTCCAATTGGCCGATCTAGACAGATACAGAGCCTGCCTACCTACGATGGGGCGGCCCAATAAACCCACGGCCAAGCTGAAAGTCCTAAGTGTGTGTCTTGCGCCTCTGACACAGCCAGGGCATCACTGGATGCACTGAGGCAGAGCTAGACGCATTCTGTTCCTTGAGGGGGTCCAGGAGCCATGAGTTGTTTTTCCAGTGCTCCTCACCCTGGTCACCCAAGCTGGAACGGAACGTTCTTCATCCCTGTGGCCCAGTCCTAAAGCCTTGGGGACTTAAATTTCACTCTGCCCAGCAGGTGTACCTGGGCCAGGAACACACCAGCACCTCCTTGTTCTTTGCAGGGAAGTGGAATCCAAGCAGGGGCCCAGCTGCAGGCCGGCATCTCCTGGGGCCCCACTTCCTGGGTGGGTTGCCTGGCGCATCTGGTCAGAGCCAGACCAGAGCTAAGCAGGAGCTCCCGTGCATCTGTGTGTGGGAAGGCAGAGGCAAGTCCTTTCTAACCTCCTTTTGCCCCCAGTTTTCATTTGGTCTGGCCCCAAGCGGGTTTTCCTTTTTTTTTTTTTCCTTTGAGCCGGAGTCTTGCCCTGTCGCCCAGGCTTGAGTGCTATGGCGCGATCTCAGCTCACTGCAACCTCCACCTCCTGAGTTCAAGCGATTCTCTTGCCTCAGCCTCCGAGTAGCTGGAATTAGAGGGGTGAGCCAACAGCGCCGGCTCCCCAAGCCGGTTTTCTTGCAGCTGGGCCGGGACTGAGGGCAGGGGTTGCAGACGCAGGGCCCACGCGGCGCAAACATGGCCCCCGCCGGGTGACTTTGGATCCAGCGCCTGCGCAGCGGGGTGGCCACGGGGTGCAGGTTCAGGGCCAGGGGCCGGGCCTCCTGGGGATTGGCAGGGCGCCCGCCGCGGTCCAGTGAGCCTGGGGCCGGTCCCCGGGCGGTGGCCCTCGGCGCCGCGCTCCGGCCTGAGGAGGGAAGAACACCAGAGTCCCGGGAAAGGGGAGGCGGCCTTGGAGCACCCGCGCGTCCCCCAAGCCGGGCCCACCGCGCTCGGCGCCCCTGCGCGGCCGCTTTAAGGTCCCGGGCCCACCTCCTTCGCTGGGGGCGTGGCCTAGCGGTCCCGCCCCCGGGGCGCGCGCGCGCATTGGCTGTGCGGGGTGCGGGCGCGCGGGCGGTGCTTTGAACCGGGCGCGGGGCGCTGCGGGCCGGTCTGCTTCGGGGTCGTGCACGGGTCGGGCTGCAGTCGGGCTGGAGTTGGGCTCGAGTTGGGCTCCTCTGGGCCATGGCGGCCGAGGCGCGCGTGTCGCGCTGGTACTTCGGGGGACTTGCCTCCTGCGGGGCCGCCTGCTGCACGCACCCGCTGGACCTGCTCAAGGTGAGGCCCGGACGCGGGGCGCTGGGCGGACGGGACCCTGGCGCCGCCGAGGCGCCTGCAACCTCAACAGTCCGCCCACGCGCACGGGGATCGCTGCACCCGGGGGCTCCGCCAGGAGAGTGCGAGGCGGCGACCGACGCGCTGGTGATCGAGCCGGGGTGGCGGATCCCCGGGTGGTCCTCGGCTGGTGGCCGGGAGCTCGAGGCCTTAGGGACGCAGCCGCGCTCCCCGGGTTCCCAGCCGGCTTCCCAGTTCTCGGCAGGTGGCATTCCAGACCCAGCTCTGCACTTTAATACCTGGTGACCTTGGGCGAGTCACTTGGCCTCTCTGAGCCAACCATCCCCATACATTCAAGGACACGCCTTCCTCCTGGTTGAAAGTTATGGTAGGGAGTTCTGTGAGGTGCACAGGTGTCGGCACCTGGAGACTGTGCTGGCACACCCAGGGCGTGGGCCAAACCACCATCCCCCTAGGGGTGCTTAGCACACTTCCGGACGTGGTCCTGGGCAAGTGGGGTGACCCGTGCCCCTGATTTTGGCCGCTTCCTCGGGAGAGTTAGGCGGGAACTGGAAGTGATGTTAGGACCAGCACACCGCCGGGAGACCCTGCACGCCTGTGGTCCTGGCCCTATGAAATTGGGTATTTCTCAGCACGAGAAGCAGCCACCGTTTTTTTCCCTTAAAAAAAAAAAAATGCTTATGGGGCAAAATGAGACACAGTTGGCCTTGTTTCCCCAGGGACAGCCAAGGGGCGTTGTTTTCTGACCCTGCCTTTCCACAGAGAACAAAGAAGAAAGGGTCTGAGGCTTTGCAGTCTGCCCAGTGGGCCCTGCCCTGTGAACCCGGCTGTGGTCGCTGGGCAGCCGCCTGTCTGGGGGACTTTTATTTTAGCAGGCTGCCCAGGGGACCTGTATTTCTGCAGTCTTTGAGTGGACTGGCTTTACTAATGAGTAAAAATGCTGGCCACTGGGTGAAGGCCAAGGGAGCAGATGTGGGCATTTGGGGCACCTGAGACCTAGATTGTCCTGGGAGAGGCCTGCACAGCTCCCAGGCCACAGGCAGCCAGGGCCAGGTCACAGGACAGGAAGGCTGTGCCGTGGCCAGGAGGAGCCCCTCCTTGGCATCTGGCTCTTCCTTTCCTCCTGGGTGCCACATAGGTGCACCCCCCAGGGCCTCTCCTACAGGCTCTCTGGGTGTTGAAGGCTGCCCCCGCCTGCCTGACCACTGTTCAAGGTCCCTCTGGGTGTCACTGCCCCTTGGCTCCACCCCACCAGGTGTTCTTTGGCAGCAGAACACTGCAAGGGGAGGCAGGGAAGGCTTTCAGGTGGAGGCGGGATTGCCCTCTGGCCTGGGAGGGCAGGAGAAGCCACTGGCTGATGACAGCAGATGGGGCTGTGGGCAGGGCACGTCCCTGAGGACTGCTCACCAGGGCTCTCTGCCTGGCCGTTCAAAAAATCATTGTAAAGCTTCTTGATCACTTTGTCCCATGTCCCTACTGTTGGTTCTGGCCTGGACAGGGGCTACTGCCTGTGTGGGCAACGGGTCTTCAGGCCCAGACCCTCTGTTCTGCCAGGTCGAACAATGGGAGGCCCCTCTCTGACCCCACCCATCTTTGCCACCCCCTGGCACGCGTGACAGGGGCCATGCATGTGGAGGTCACACTGAGTGGTGGACGGGCTTCTTTGGGGTCAGTGCTGGGGTTGGGACCCAGGAGCTGGGATCCTGGTCCAGTTGCTGGCCTTCCTGTCTGGCCCTGGCCCACTCCTCTTCTGCCTGGAGCTCTCAGCTGGCCAGGCTGGGAGGTAGAGGTCTTGTGAGTGGTGGAGGCCAAGGAACGGGGAGGTTGTGGGGCTGACAGTCCCTGCGTGCCTGCCCACAGCTTCTAGGTGCTTTGTGGAGGAGGCCACTGTGCCCTGTGCCAGCCGCACTGTCCCTCGCCCGCTGCTGAACCACTGCCGCCTTTCAAGGCCTTCTCTAGCCACCTCCTCAGTCTCCTACGGTCCTGCAGACTCCCTCGATGTTTCTGAGCCCCCGGAAATGTCTTTCTTGAGATGTGGTGTGGTGGATAAAAAGTAGGGCTCTGGGGTCTCCTCGCTGGGCCCAAATCCTGATGGCACCAGCGGGTGCGTAACCTCACCGTGCCTCAGTCTCCTCATCTGCAGAAGGAGAATGGCCCCTGTGGCCAGTGCAGCAAGGACTCAAGTGGTGTGCGGGGCATGCGTGGGGCACTCGGGGCTCACAGGCTCTCTCAGGTCAGTGTCCTCTGCTGTGGTTGCTGGTGGAAAGCAATGGTGTGAGCTGGTTCCAGACACGGGTGTGGAGTCCCTGGGTAGGGCCTGTGGGAGGCCTTATCACTACCCCCTGCCTCAGTTTCCCCCCTCCAGATGGACCCGGCACCAATCCCTCAGGGTCACCGTGGGGTCTGAGAGCACTCACTCCCGCAGGTGCATCTGCAGACGCAGCAGGAGGTGAAGCTGCGCATGACGGGCATGGCACTGCGGGTGGTGCGTGGTGACGGCATCCTGGCACTCTACAACGGCCTGAGCGCCTCGCTGTGCAGACAGGTGCGCGGAGGTGCCAGCCTCAGGCTTCCACATCCCCTCGGGGCTCCCAGACTGGGGCCTAGTCCCATGGTGGCCATCAGAGCTACTTCCATCCCCTTTTCAAGACTTTCTGCAAGGACCGACCCACAGGGCCCAGAGAGTTGGTGACCCCAGGGTGGACCTTCCACGGACATCAGCCCAGTTCTCAGGGCTGGGCCTGAGACTGCCACTTGCCAGTGGGGAAACTGAGGCCCAGGGAGGGAGAGAGCAGGGTGCAGCTCTAGATTTGTGAACTGGCTCAGCCGCATGGTGACCCAGTGGCCTTGGGAAGGCCCCTCAGGTCCCTGTGGCCCGTTGGGCTGAGGGGGTCCCTGGCTGGGCCACAGTGGTGAGGCTGCGTGCCTGCCCCTCCAAGCTGGGCCCTTCTCCCCAGATGACCTACTCCCTGACTCGGTTTGCCATCTACGAGACTGTGCGGGACCGGGTGGCCAAGGGCAGCCAAGGGCCCCTCCCCTTCCACCAGAAGGTGCTGCTGGGCTCCATCAGCGGTGAGCTGCTGGGCAGGCAGGGCGAGGGGTAGCCGGGGGCTATGGTCACCGAATGTCATCACTGGCTCTCTCTGGGGTTTGTGTCACTGCAGGTTTGGCTGGAGGCTTCGTGGGGACTCCCGCGGACTTGGTCAACGTCAGGTTGGTGTCCCCCTACCCCACCTGCAAGGCCAGGGACTGTCTTGTCCCCAGACAGACCAGGGCGTGCCAGGGTCGCTGGCATGGTGGGGTCAGCCTGGAACAAGCCATTTGGACCCTGGTGTTTTGGGTGTAGGAGGGCAGGTGTCCAAGCCCCAGCGCGCTCTGTCCTGGCAGCCCTGCTGCCAGGGCTGCCCATGCCCTGAGGCCCACCTGCCCCTCCCGCCACCTGCTTCTGTTTCAGGATGCAAAACGACATGAAGCTGCCCCAGGCTCAGCGGCGCAAGTGAGTCACGGGTGGCCCTGCCTTCTCGGGGTGGTTGGGGAGCAGGAGGCTCATGCTGGAGCAGACCCCTGGCCGCTCTGCCATGACCTAGTGAGGACTCCAGCAGGCCTCCGTGCCTGTGGTCCATGGAGGGGTCCTGACAGCTGTTCTGGACTTGGGGATGTCACTCTGCCCCCTAGGACCTGTGGGTTCTTCCTGCAGGGACTGAGGGCTGGGCCTGTTTGCACCCCAGAGGGGTGAGTGCGGAGGTGGAGGCCCCCAGGTGTGGAGAGACTGCACTCGACAGAAATGCCCGAAGGAGGCACTTGCACCCTGCCCGGCATAGGGCAACCGTGCCCTCCTGCCTCAGCCTGGGGTCTGCCCCAACTGCAGCGTGAGCTGTTTTCCCCGCCCCTTCCGAGGACCCCTGGGGAAGAGCTTCTGGCTTCTGGCTGTGCATGCAGACTGTCCACCCAGGATCACGGGAGGCTGGGAAGCAGGAACCTGCATGCTAAGAGCAGTGCCTAGCCGGGGACTCTGCTGGAAAAGATGGACCCTCCCGACGAGGGCAGATGGGGCTGGAGGGGTGGCTGTGGGATGGCAGGACCAGCCTCAAATGTTCCCATGGAGGGGTCCTCGGGCCCATGAGGCTTCTGCTTCCTCGAGAACCATCCGGCCTGCGATGGGGCCCGGGAGGCCCCTGGTGGTCAGGGGGAGCCTCATGTGGCCATTTCTTGTCCCCGGCAGCTATGCCCACGCACTGGATGGCTTGTACCGCGTGGCTCGTGAAGGTGAGGGGCAGGCGCTATGCACAGGTAGGGGTGGGGTTGGGCACCAGGGGATTTGGGCAGGGCACCTGGCCTCACCCCTGGCCTCACACCTTCCTTGTGTAGAGGGTCTGAGGAGGCTGTTCTCAGGCGCGACCATGGCATCCAGCCGAGGGGCCTTAGTCACCGTGGGACAGGTAGGTCTCCTGTGTAGGGTGAGCATGGGCAGCACCTGCAGCCTCTGACCTCCATCTTCAGAGGGGTCATAGAACAAGGCAGTAGGCGCCGTGACCCTCCTGGGGAGCCACCAGCTGTGCCCTTGGTGGGGTGGGATCGGGGGCATGGGACGGTCAGGGCCGCAGCCGTGAAGGGCCTCGGCAGGTCCCTGTCTGGGCTTTATGGATAGAAGGAGCAGGTACTTGGTCATCGTCAGGTGGTGTCACTTGGGGCCCTACGTGCTTTCCCTGAGCTAGGGACCACCCCACAGCCCTGACTGTCCCTGTGCCCCTGCAGCTGTCCTGCTATGACCAGGCCAAGCAGCTGGTCCTTAGCACCGGGTACCTGGCTGACAACATCTTCACTCACTTTGTCGCCAGCTTCATTGCGGTAAGTGGCGGGAATGGCTGGAGTGGGCGTCCCTGGGCTGGCCTTGGGAGCTGAGGGTACCCGGGCTGGGGTGAGGGCTGTGGGAGGTGGGGGGGCCTCAGGCATCTAGCAGTGCCTCCTGGGACTCACAAGTGGGTGCCGGGGCTTTGGGAGCTCGTGGGTGGGCCTGGCGCCCCCGCCAGCATGTTACTGGCCTGCCCGGGAATCAGGTCAAGGGGCTCTTTCGGGACTGGCCTGTGGGTGGGATTCGGCGATGGTGCCAAGGGTACCCAAGGGGCCACTGGTGATGAGCCCCCTCCCCAGGGTGGATGTGCCACATTCCTGTGTCAGCCTCTGGACGTGCTGAAGACCCGCCTGATGAACGCCAAGGGGGAGTATCAGGTGCGTGGAGTCCCACCTGTGCCCTTGGGCTGCCCAGCCCAGCAAGTCCCCTCACCTCTGCAGGGCGTGGACACTTGCCCTGGGGACCTGGGGAAGGGTGCCCCCACCATGGCCTCCCTTCCAATTGCCTATCTCTGCACAGCCCTTGGCCTTGGGAGAGGGGTCATGACTTAGAGTATCTTTGCCTTGCTTTTGTTTTAAATAACCTTTCTTGGTCTGGCGCAGCGGCCCATGCCTGTAACCCCAGCACTTTGGGAGCCTGAGGCAGGCAGGTCTCTTGAGTCCAGGAGTTCAAGACCAGCCTCAGCAATATACTGAAACGTCATCTCTGCCAAAAATAAAAAATTAGGTTTGGTGGCATGTTCCTGTAATCCCAGCCTCTTGGGTGGCTGAGGTTCCAGCTACACGGGAGGCTGAGATAGGAGAATCCCTTGGGCCCAGGAGGTCCAGGCCACAGTGAGCCAAGATTGTACCACTGCATTCTAGCCTGGGTGACATAGAGTGTTTTTTTAAACAAAACAGTTTTGTTTTGTTTTGTTTTGTTTTGTTTGAGACAGAGTCTCACTCTGTCACCCAGGCTGGAGTGCAGTGGGGCAGTCTTGGCTCACCACAGCTTCTGCCTCCTGGGTTCAAGTGATTCTCATGCCTCAGCCACCCAAGAAGCTGGGATTACAGGTGTGTGCCACCATGCTCGGCTAATTTTTGTATTTTTAGTAGAGATGGGATTTCGCCATTTTGGCCTGGCTAGTCTTGAACCCTTGGTCTGAAGTGACCCACCCACCTTAGCTTCCCAAAGGGCTGGGATTACAGGCTTGAGCCCCCATATGGCCAGAGCATTTCCTTAGCAGATAAACAGAGGTGGTGCTGCTCACAGCAGTTGGTGCCACATAAGTGCTCTGGCCTCCTGCCAGCTCCATGGTACTTCCGTGTTTGCAGAGCCCATTTCCTGCTCTTCTCCCTGACCCTGCCGTGCCTCATCCGTCATTCTCATGGTTCTGTTCACACAGCCCCCTTCACCCCTGGGCCCTGGATTTACTGCAGAAGCAGGCAGGGTGGCCACTGACTTGGCCAGGGCCTACACGCCTGTGGTCACCTGACCCCAGCCAGCAGCCGCAGCTCACACCCAACCCCACATCCCATGTTCAGAGTGCACAGGCCTGGGTGCCTGGCTGGTGCCTGGGAGGGGATTTTCGTGGCCTTTTGGGTGAGAAGCAGCCTTTTTTATTGTTTCACTGCATTTTCTGCAGGGCGTTTTCCACTGCGCTGTGGAGACAGCGAAGCTCGGGCCCCTGGCCTTTTACAAGGTGCAGTGGGGGTGGGGGAGGGCTGCGGTGGTGGCTCGGGCAGCGGGACCAGCTCCCTTCAGGCTCTGCGTCTCTCATTTCCCTGTCTCCTTCCAGGGTCTTGTCCCAGCTGGCATCCGCCTCGTCCCCCACACTGTGCTCACCTTTGTGTTTCTGGAACAGCTTCGCAAAAACTTTGGCATCAAAGTTCCATCCTGACCAGCTGTGGGAATGGCTGGGCCACCAGGCCAGCAGAGCTAGACCCTTCCAAAGAGTCCCCAAGTGTCAGCACCAATCTCAGCGCCTGCTCCTGGGGCCACTGCCTCCCTGCAGGCCCCTGCTGTGTCCCCCCCAACCCCAAGCTTGCTGGCTCCTCCTGGCCTCGTCCCCTCCCTGCTGTAGCTGCACTCCCACCCCTGCTCTGGCTCCCACACTCCCCAGGCTTGGCGCTGGGTGGCCTTACCCCTCTCCCGCTGGCAGCCCCTCAGGTAAATGGAGGCCACCAGAGGCTGGTTTCCTCCCCACTCCTGGCCTGGGGGAGGGGTGTTATTCCTGCCTCCTGCCCAGAGGCCCAAAGCAGCATCTTCCAGCACGTTCCATCGAGGACTTGGGTGGTGATGATATGGCGCCCCCTGGTGGTTGCTCACCGAAGTGCAAGCCATGCACTGTGTATCCGCTGAGAGGGGCCAGACCTTCCACCTCCTCCGGCAGCTGTAACTCCAAGACCCCGCTGCTGGGTCCCACCCACGAACAAACAACGCAGACCACGAGCGAGTGCCTGGAGGGAGGGGCCCAGAGTAGTTCTGGAGCCATTGCGAGTGAGGGTCGAGGGCCACCAAGGTCCACCCCCATCCACCCCGCAGTGGCTTTAACAGTTTTGCCAAAGCCTCTCCACTCCCCAGCAGGTGGTGTTGTAGTCAGGGATTGTGCCTGCATCCCTCGGCCCTACGTCCTCCCGCTTGGCTCCATGGGGGAATGGCCCAGCCAGGCTGCTGTCCTTCCTCAGGGCCTTCTCCCGGACGTGGAGTCCAATGGGGTGGCTGTGGCCTCCTCTGACTTCCTGGCCGCTGGTCTCCACCCCACCTGGGAAGGGCGCCTGCTCTGTGGGGGCAGCAATCAATAAATGCGGCAAGCTGCTATGTGTGTTCCTGCCTGGACCGCCCGCCCGCTGGCTGCCTTGTTCAGTGCAGCGGGATCCCTGCACCCTCTGAGGAGGGAGAACCAAGGCCCCTCAGGGAGGCCTGTGGGTGGAGGAATTGGGGAAGTAGGGGAAAGGGAATGAGACAGTGGGGCTGGGCTTGAGGGATCTGTGTAGAGCTCTGGACCCCGGGGGCTACCCCACCAATACTAAGCACTAATTTTTTTTATTTTTTTGAGATAGGCTTTGGCCCTGTCACCCAGGCTGGAATACAGGGGCACAATCTTGGCTCACTGACCTGGGCCTCCTGGGCTCAAACCCGTCTCCTACCTCAGCCTCCCAAGTAGCTGGTGCTGTGGGCATGTGCCACACCTGGCTAATTTCTGTATGTTTTTGTAGAGCGGGGGGGGTCTCACTATGTTACCCAGGCTGGTCTGAAACTCCTGAACTTAAGGGATCTGCCCACCTGGGCCTCTCAAAGAAACCTCCCCCCAGTTTTTTTTAAGTCAAGGTCTTAACTGTGTGGCTCTGGCAGGAGTGCAGTGGTGCAAACAGCCTGTAGTTCCAGCTGCTTGGTAGGCTGACGTGGGAGCGCTTAAGCCTTCAAGTTCAAGCTGCAGTGAGCTATGATCACACCACTCTACTTCAGCCTGGGTGACAGAGTAAGACCCCATTTCAAAAACAGAAAATGTAACCGCAGGCCAGGTATGGTTGCTCATGCATGTAATCCCAGTACTGTGGGAGGCTGAGGCAAGGTCTCTTGAGCCCAGGAATTTGAGACCAGCCTAGACAATATGGTGAGACCTCCATCTGTACAGAAAGTTTAAAAATTAGCTGGGTGTGGTAGCATGCACCTGTAGTCTCAGCTACTTGGGAGGCTGAGGTGGGAGGATTACTTGAGCCCAGAAGATCCAGGCCACAGGGAGCTGTTGCTATGCCATTGCACTCCAGCCTGGGCTACAGAGCAAGACCCTGTCTCAGAAAAAAAAAAAAAATCTTTGATATACTCAAATATGCATTCAGTGCTCAAATTTCTGAAGGTGAATGCACTGCCAGGTGCATTTTTTGAAGAGCTGGTTTTGTTTGGACGGAGACCAGCAGGAGCTCTGAGGTTTGTACATGGTACCCAGTGCCCAGATTGGAAATTCACAACCAGGGAGGGAGTGGGTAAGTTCTGGGGAAGACTGCTGCTGCTTAAGAAATCAGGTGGTTCAGAAAGGCAGCTCTGGCCAGCAAATCCCAAAAACTGCAGATGCAGGGACCACATTTTCAGAGCTGCTTTCATGGGAGTACTGGAGGATCGGCTGTCATGCCAGGGCACTGTGGCCACCCTGAAGGCTGGCATCACTCCCAGCCCCTCCCTGCAGTCAGCCCCACTGGGACAGTACCAGTCGGGATGAAAGCACCCAGTCTGGTTTAGCAGGGCCAGGCCTGGCAGTGGGCTGCCGCAGGGCAGGGGCAGAGGGCGGGGTGGGAGAGGCCAGTGGGCAGGGCTCCCCACCTACCCTCCACAGAAGCCACAGGGCACAGCCCCTTGGAGGGGGGTAGGTCAGACGGGGTGTCAGTCCTGGGGTTTCAAGGCCCTTAACCCACAGGCCCTGCAGGCCACCTGGTCCCAAGGCAAGAAGCCAGTCAGTTTCATGCTTGGGCCCCAGGAATGGATCTGGACCCTGCTGAGTCAGCATTTCAGCAGTCACCTGCATGCATTTTCTTTTTCCTTTTGCATGAAGTCTCACTCTATCACATAGGCTGGATTGCAGTGGCATGGTCTCGGCTCCCTGCAGCCTCCACTTTCTGGGTTCTAGCAATTTTCATGCCTCAGTCTCCTGAGTAACTGGGACCACAGGTGCACGCCACCAAGCCTGGCTAAATTTTGTATTTCTAGTAGAGACAAGGCTTCACCATGTTGGCCAGGCTGGTCTCAAACTCCTGACCTCGAATGATCCCATTGCTTTGGCCTCCCAAAAGTGTTGGAATTACAGGTGTGAGCCACCGCACTGGGCTTCCATGCATTTTTTGTTAAAGTACATGGACTTCGTACTTTACAAAAAGTTACACAATAATCATTTAGTGTCGAGAAATTTCAACAAGGATCGCAAGACAATTCATTGGGGAAACACTATTGGCTGGGCACGGTGGCTCGCAGCTGTAATCCCAGCACTTGGGGAGGCCGAGGCAGGTGGATCATGAGGTCAGGAGATCGAGACCATCCTGGCTAATACGATGAAACCCTGTCTCCACTAAAAATACAAAAAATTAGCCAGGTGTCAGGTGGCATGTGCCTATAGTCCCAGCTACGCAAGAGGCTGAGGCATGAGAATCGCTTGAATCTGGGAGGCAGAGGTTGCCGTGAGTTGAGATGGTGCCACTGCACTTCAGCCTGGCAACAGAGCAAGACTCCATCTCAAAACAAAAGAAAAATGAAAAGTCTATTAGCCGGGCATGGTGGCTCATGCCTGTAATCCCGGCACTTTGGTAGGCTGAGGCAGGTGGATCACCTGAGGTTAGGAGTTCAAGACCAGCCTGGCCAAAATGGTAAAACCCCATCTCTACTAAAAACATAAATGTTAGGCCAGGCGCAGTGGCTCATGCCTGTAATCCCAGCACCTTGGAAGGCGGAGGCGGGTGGATCATGAGGTCAGGAGTTTGAGACCAGCCTGACCAACATGGTGAAACACCATTTCTACTAAAAATATGAAAATTAGCCGGGCGTGGTGGCACACACCTGTAATCCCAGCTACTCAGGAGGCTGAGGCAGGAGAATCTGTGTTGTCTAGCAATTTGGTAAGATTGAACCCGCGAAAGTAACCCACCCTGTTTTGGGTGGAAGCGTGGCCTGATCACCCATGGGTGCCAGATTGGCACGTTGGAAGGTAGCTCTCTGTAACCTTGGAAGCTTTTGCTTATGGTTTTGAACTGGAAGGAGAGCATTCGAATATGTGTCTGTGTCGTCGAGCAATTTGTAAAAATTAGAGACAGCCACATAAGGCTGAGTGAAGAAGCCTCTGGGCGTTGTAAAAGGATTAAAGTGAATGTAAATTGGAAAGTGCTCCATGCTGCGTCTTGCTAGGCGGGAACTGCTGTGAGTGAGCTAACACTCTCCTAAGTGTGGGAATTGTTTCTTTGAATTGTTAATATGGCTCACTCCCATAGCCATTCCACCCCTTTAGAAACCATGCTGAAAAAATTCAAGAAGGGATTTAGTGGAAATTATAAAGTAACTATGACACCAGAGAAATTAAGGGTTTTATGTAGAGAAGAGTGGCCAGCATTTAGGGTAGGTTGGCCCCCAAAGGGGACCCTAGAGAGTCCCCTTGTCTCCAAAGTAAGGCATGAGGTTATATAAGGCGAGCTAGAACACCTTGATCAATTTCCATACATGGACTCGTGGTTGCAGTTAGTGTTAAAACCCTTCGAAGTGGCTAAGAGAACAGGCAGGATTTGCATGCATGAATACTTCAGTTATTGGAAGTAGCTAACCAGGCATTTGTAAACCAAGAGGCGGTAAGCCAGAGGGAAAATCATAGGGAAAGGGAACATCAGGCTCAATGGAAGGCTGACTAGATAGCTGCTGCTATGAGAGGAACGCTCCCAAGAGCATGGAAAAAGGGGGGTTCCTGGAAAGCCCCACAGTCTGCCTGCCTGCTCCTGCAATGCGGTCAGTGTGCATTTTGTCGAGAAATAGGACATTGGAAAAAATGCCCACAGTTAATGGGAGAACAGGGTGATCCTAAGCACGAGGATCTAGATAAAAAGTGAAGGGGCTGGCCGGGCTCCGTGGCTCAAGCCTGTAATCCCAGCACTTTTGATCACGAGGTCAAGAGACCGAGCCCATCCTGGTCAACATGGTGAAACCCCGTCTCTACTAAAAATACAAAAAATTAGCTGGGCATGGTGGCGCGTGCCTGTAATCCCAGCTACTCAGGAGGCTGAGGCAGGAGAATTGCCTGAACCCAGGAGGCGGAGGTTGCGGTGAGCCGAGATCGTGCCATTGCACTCCAGCCTGGGTAACAAGAGTGAAACTCCGTCTAAAAAAAAAAAAAAGTGAAGGGGCAATGTTCAATCTAATGGAAGGACCACTGGACTAAAAGAGAGGGGGGCTGGACTCATATGCCCCCAAAGAGCCCACAGTCCGGACGACAACCCTGTAACCCCCCCCACGGGAAGAAACAAAACCAATATTGTTAGAGCTATTAAGAACAGACTTTCTTGTACTTAATGGACTGCCCCTGCCCCGCCTCTCCGGCAAAACCTGTTGTGCAAATCCAGGGCCACTATCCCATTCAAAAAGCAGACTCCCTGCAGTTAAAAATGCCTCAGGCAGGGGTCATACAGGCTCTCAGTGTCCCTTGGGAAGGAGGGTGGAGCCTTCCTAGCCAGAAGCAGGGGACTGATATTATTGCCCAGGCCCGTGCAGGGCTTGCGTGGCTTTGCACCCAACTCATTCACGCAGTTGCGATTATTGCCAGCAGCGGATAGTTGGTTCATTTAATTGGACTTAAAGAATACCTCCTTAGCATTGGACTGGCCTCGGAGGGTCAAAAAGTATTTGCATTTCAATGGGAGAAACCCAGAAGCAGGTGTACCCACTCAATACACCTGGACCCAGCTTCCCAGGGGCTCAAAAACTCTCATCATCCTAGGGGAGGCATCAGCCCATGACCACCCCCCCAGAAGCTTCTTGCTTGCATGCTGCCCCCGTATGCTGATAACCTTCTATTGGGACACTCCACGGCAGTCGGGTGCGCAAAAAAATGCCTTACTTCGACACCTGGAGGACTGTGGGTATAAAGTGTCTAAAAGAAAAGCCCAGATTTGCCAAAAAGCAAATGCAATATCTGAGGCTCACCTGGATATTGGAAGGGGGAATGCAGCCTAGAAGCAGAGAGGAAGCAAGCCACTTGCAAAGTGACAGAACCTGAGATTAAACAGCAGGCGAGAGAGCTCCTGGGAGTGGTGGGTTTGTAAATTGTGGATTTCCAAACTTCGCAGTACTAGC